TCTGTCCGTGTGTAAACAGCCGCTCTATTTGAGTTATTATCCTCAAAGATAATAGAAGATCCATGTTAAGAAAGCTATGCTGAAGAGAAGCACAATCAAAAAGACCTGGGATGGTAATCTTCCTGCTTCGTAAGATTCTATGCCTGAAACTGGTGACTGAGGGATTTGCCGCCACTGTTGGGTAAAATATTCCAAGGAGGGGATTTGCGGTAATTTAGCTTGAGCCACAGATTTCTGTCTCAACGAGCTGCATGTTGTTTGCTTTCTTTCCTTCTTGAACTTTGTACCTACAAAATTTTCACAGTCCTTCACCCACCTGCCATCTGCTTCTCACTCATTCTAGTCTGTTTTCCCTTTTTGTTTTTATCAACATAAGAACGTAAGAAGAGCCCTGCTAGATCAGGCCAAGGGCCCATCTAGTCCAGCTCCCTGTATCTCACAATTGTCTCACCAGATGCCTCTGTGAGCACACGAGACTACTAGATATCTCTATCCTGATGCACCTCCTCTGCATTTGGCATTTGGAAGTGCCTTCCTTTAAAGCCTGGAGATTATACATCCCTATCATGACTTGTAACCTGCGATGGATTTTTTCTCCAGATATCTGTCCAATCCCCTTTTAAAGGCATCTAGGGCAGATGCCATAGACTAATGACACGCTGGGTAAAGAAATATTTTATCCCAATCATTTCCTTTCCAGGTCTCTAGAATTCCAGGCTCTCGAATTCTGGAATTCCATATCAACTTACATACACCTAATAGCAACATAGCTGCTGCTCTTAAGCCCAATGATCCTCTGACTATTCGAGACAAGACTTTATATGACCTCCTGGAACACGATTCTAAATCTGTGACCTTGCACATCTGACGGCAGTGGATGGAAACCATCTACAGCTTGTATCATGATGAATGGGAACAAAACCTTTTGTTTTCAAGATGTGAAACAAGCCTCGCTTTTGACATGTGGACAGGTTTCCACAAGAAATGACATTGTGCAAGCTTATCCCTGGTTCCTAATGTGTGTGCTGGTTTTGCTATAAATCACAGTCCATCAAAATCAGTGCAGTTCAAGCACATTTGATATGCTGATCAGCTGCCTCATAAGATTTGTCTGGGATGGTGGACAGCAAAGAGGTAAAAAAAAATAGAGATGTAATTTAGATGAGGAAGAAAAGCTATGCTTTTCCTGTTTCTCAGAAGTATTGGGGATGAGGATTTGTGGAAGGCTCCAAGAACCCTTTAACTTACCATAGGGTTCTATGGATTGAACAAAGTTCTGGACAATCATGAGGAAGCTGAGGCACAGAGCAGTCGTACAGCAGGGGTGGAGTACCTCAGTCCAAATAATCACGTAACTGGAAATGTGTGCATCTATGAGACAGACAAGAGTTTTTCACAACACTGCCTCACAAAGTATCTCTTTCCTAGCCTGCTAAGACTTGAAAGTGGACATGTAAATGCTGATAAGGAAAATGAAAACAATGGTGGGGGGAGGAAATTCCTGGACCATGAAACTCCTGGAATACTGAAATGCAGTTATAGCATAGGTTTGTTCACCAGCAATTTCCATTCCTGGTGTTTTGATACTTTTGCCGGTGTTCCAATTACCTAGTCAAAATACAAATTGTGATTTGCCATGATGGCAGTTTAGTGTCTTCATAATTTGCAAGAATCGCAGGCTGCTGAGCTAGCAAGAACAAAGTGTGCTGCTTAGAACAATATAAATTCCCATAGAATTTTACAAATGAGAGAAATATAAATATAGGGAAGCAAAACAGAGACACATGCCACACACAAGATTCCAACAGCACAAATGCCAGGCACTGGACAACAGACATCAAAGAGCAGAAGGCAACAACACAGCAATGGGCTTCATTTCCAGAAGCCAACAATACAGTTAAAGAAATCATGGATTTTCCTCCAAACTGATACATGGCAGGCTTGGCTGGGTGGAAAACAGTTTAAGTAATTTTCTTGTGTGTCTGAATATGCTTAAAGGCTATGAAATATATTTTACTTTTAATAACTTTGATATTTTAAGAAATATACACTCTGCTTTTGATTGGGCTTTTGAGGTTACAAACTTATGTATTTTTAGAATGTAATTAAAACATAATTAAAATGGTATTTTGGTATTTCTTTTATATTTTTATATTCTTGCATTTTGGATTGAAATCTGACTTAAATATTTGATAAAAACTTAAGTTTAGTGTTCATATATTTTTAAGCATTTGTACCTACAGCTTTTCCTCACAGCTGTAATAATTTTTTTAAGTAACAGGATTATGACTCTTCAGAAAGTTACATGTTTTCAATTATTCTTGGATTTTTGTCCATAAAAGCAATGTAGATGAATAAAGCTTGTAGAAATAGGCAAACTGATATTGCCTGGAATCATCCCAACAATGAAACTACTTTTACCTTAAACCCAGATGAACATTAATATGATTGGACAGTTTATCTGATTTCACACTGGAATTGACTCTTTCAGGGATAAATGTCAGCTGTTATGCACCACCACAGGCTGAAACTACAATGGGTGTTATAAAGTTTTACAGTTCTCTGAGGTCATTGTTTGAGTATCTTGACCTTGACATAATAACTAGAATCCATGCTATGATTATTGAATTTTGAAACCTTAAATGAACAACCACATTTTAAATTGTTGAAATGAGGCCTATGTTCATGTTAGTGGGCCATTCAAGGAGATGACATTCCACAACTGGGTAGCATAGACAGAACTCCCTCTTCCACATCTCCACAAAATGTACTAATCACAGTGGTGGAACATACACATGCGGAGAAAGACAGAGGAAGAAAGTTCTTTTATCTGCTGCCAAGTTGCTTCTGACTTATGGTGACTCTATGAATGAGTGACTTCCAAAATGTCCTATCATGACCAGCTCTTGCAAATTCAAGGTACTGAAAGACTCTTTTAAATTTGGGGTATTTAAGGCTTCATATGTCACAACTTAGTTAACTGGGACAAGAAGGATATTATCAAACAATGCAGTTCCTTCATACCAGCAGCCAGTGCAATCTAGATACCATATTTTAGTTTAGTTGCAGTGTCCACCATGTCCTTAAATCCCAAGTTGAGTAGAACCATTGGATCAATAGTTGATAATAGTGAATCAACATGTAAGGAAATCCAATTGGTTTAATAGCTGATCCATAGAGTCATAGAATAGTGAAGTTTAAAAGGGGCTATAAGGCCATTAAGTCCAATCCCCTGCTCAATGCAGGAATACAAATCAAAGGATATCTGCCAGGCAGTTGTCTTAAGTTTCTCTTGAATGCCTCCAGTGTTGGAGCACTCACCACCTCTTGAGGTGATTGGTTCCACTGTCTTACTGCTCTAACAGTTAGGACGTTTTTCTTAATATTCAGTTGAAATCTAGCGTCCTGTAACTTGAGCCCACTGTTTTGTGTCTTGCACTCTGTGATAATCAAAAAAAGATCCTGCCCCTCCTCTGTGTGAGAGCCTTTTAAGTATTTGAAAAATGTCATCATATCTAAGTCTGCAGAACTAGTGATCCATAAAGAAAAATTAGATCCAACAGCTATGTACAGCACAGGTATTACTATGGCTTCAACATTTTTTTCAACATCTTGGTTGTGCTATACCATGACAAACAACAGAAATAAGAACTTTGCTGAACCACAGAAGTGCTCCTGGTGGTCTGTGTTTTGTTCGGCAGCTGCATTTGGTTGGGCATGTTGGAAGACAATACTGGAAATACTACAGTAATTTGTAAGGATGGAGCCATGTTAAGTCTGTTGCAACAAACACAGAATTGAGTCACATGTCTGGCATAAGCCTTCATGCAATAAAGTGGATTACTATCAATAAAATGTATGTCACATAACATTGTTAGCCTTAAAAGTGCCACAAGATTCTTCCTTGCTTTTACAATCCTTTTTGTATGTCATGTTTTCAGTTCCAGCATGGTTAAAATTTTGACCATGATAATGATAATAATAAGAAACACAAGGGCAAAAATATCTACAGTAATATAATTAATGGTGTTAATTACACCTGGCTGTGGCTGGTAGAATGAGAGGAAACAATTTTTCACTTTTATAAGGTCTTTAAGGTGTTTCAATTAGCAGTTCTTTTCATATAAGAGTGATTAAGGGTATTCCACTAGAGGGCAGTATCACATGATTATTTATAATAAACTAATATACTGTATGTACTTTTGTTCAAGCTTTTTTGGTTTAGTCTGAAAGAGTTGCCATTCAAGCAATGTAATTGGTTTGGACAGAAAATTTTACACACTCTTGAAATCAAGTGGTCAGAACAGAGGAAAAAGAAGGGTATTTAATTGAAAACTGACTGTGGCTCTTTCACATGCTTGCATGTGAAAGTCAATATTTACTAAAATAAGTTGAAGGATTGATTAACCTGTGATCTTATTGCTCTATCAATCATTGTGTTCACTGTTCTGTGCACTGTGTGTAAGGCAACACGATCAAATGATGAAGCAAAGAAGGCAGAAGTAAAGGGAAAGGGAGAGATAGAATCTCAACGCTTAGCACAAATAAATATTTTATTGGTCTAGTCACTAGACTAAACCGTCTGGCAGAGTTCTGACTCCTGTCCTCTGAAGACAGGCGAAACGTTAGGAAGAACAACCTTCACAACACGGCCAAAGAGCCTGAGAAACCCACAGAAACCATCATAATCTTCCTTATGATTGTCAAAGAAATGACTTTTTTGTTTGTTCTTGAGCTACCAAATATCTGGCATCCCAAATGAAGTCCTGCTGTTTTCTCACAAATACTATAGTGACAGACAAATGTAAACAATGTAGATTTCCTATCAAAATTGTATTGGCCACAAATACAAGGATTATTAACTATTTGTCTGCTCAACAACTGCTTCATTTCTCATCTTTGGATTGGTCGTTATTTATAGTTTGCAGAGAAAGAATATATTTTAAATATTTAGAAACCTTGATCACAGAAAAAGAGCAAGATGGGGACAATGAGGAGACAATTCTGGCAGGGAGATAGAGTTAGTGTGTTTTAATATATAAAGTGCAGAAATTGGGTGCCTTTCAGAACTACAACTGTTTTAGAAGAAATAACTGAAATTAAAATCCATTGTGGAATGTGGATTGTCTGCATCATCTGCTTTTTCCGGGAAAATAAGTGAATGTATCCATATCAAGCACCTGTTAATATCATATCATAAAAGAGTTGCAACTGCATTCATTAACTAATTTGTTTACTAATTCTTAAAACATTCGAGTTAAAATGGCAACAATATGCTTTCCCCCCTCTGATACAAAGTATCTGTTGCTGAATTTTTAAAGTCGGCAAAGACTGGTTCTTTGATAATACAGTAGCTGTAATCTGAGTTGCGAGGCGGGAGCATTTATTTTGAGAACCGCCTGTCGTGTTTTTCCGTCAGGTTTTCCCGTTTTATTTTTGAGCCGGCTTTAGCGAAGGCGACATCACAGGCCACAAGTCCTTCTTCGAGCTGGACCTGTTGCCCATAGCAACAATCTCGCCCTTTCCGTTTTCGGTGCTCGATTGCGAGGCCTGGCGTCTTTCTCAACCCCATTCTGCGTTTCTCTGGCAGCGGCGGAAAAAGAGGCCGCCGCCGCCGCGTCCAATCGTTCTCTCGGCCGTGGACTAGCTGGGCCTGCTCCGGGCTCGAGGGTTGTGTGTGTGTTTTTTTTTTTAATCCGAGGCAAGATGGCGGCGACGGCGGCCGGGGCCGCCCCACTGGGCAAGGGGCTGGACATCAGCCTGGCGGCTCTGCAGCGGCACGACCCCTATATCAGCAGCATCGTAGACGTAGCTAGCCAGGTGGCGCTCTACACTTTTGGGCACCGCGCCAACGAGTGGGTGCGTGAGCGAGTGTTATCTCGGGGGGCTGGTGGGGTGTCGAAGGGAGAGCGTGGAGAAAGGAGCCCCCCCCCCCGAGTAGGTATCGCTTTAAATCAGCAACGTCACCCTCTTGCCGTAAATCCTGTAGCACAGGGGCACTTGGAAAGCGGTGGGCGGTGGGGGAGCTTTAAAGCGCCTGCTTATATTTCAGTGGGAGGTACCGCTCAACCGCGTAGGTCGCTATTGAATATTGCGATATTCTGCTTATATACACTTAATTAACTCTCCACCGCCGCGACTTGGCAGCCAGAGCAATCAGGCTGGGAGACATAGCCTGTTCATCTTTGACCTTGAATTGCAAGGAAAGGGAGAGACGTGGCGCTCTAAAATGCAGAAATAAAGTGTTTTATATATTTTTTGACTACAGCTTTGAAAACCAAAAACGCAACTCTCCCCCTCCTTCCCCCCTTTGGCTGGATATATGGGATAACTCAAGTGATTACACTTTGCAGACATCATCACCTGTTCCATGAAGATGAGTTACACTGCATGCAGTTGTGAAATCGAAGTGTTTCATTCTGTGTACAGTGCAAGCCGTGTGGATCGAGCTAACTGATGCTGTTCTTAAAAGTATCGGTCCTGGATTTAAAGCAGCCATGCTCCCTGTGTTGGTAGCTGGAGGGCTCAGGACCCGCTTGGAAATTCTCCAAGGCTACACTCCACGAAGGGGAAGTCCTGCAGGGGTGTTGTGTGCGTGTAGCTAGGTTCACAGTTTTTGGGGGGATAGGTTCAGTCTGGGTCAGTCACTATTTTATACTTGTCCTAAAAGGATCTTGCCCATAATTGGCCTTTTCAGAAGAAATGTGGTGAAAAGAAAAAAGTTAAAATGGCAGTGGAGAACCTCATGAAGATTGCTGAGTGCTTGCTCTTGCTTCAGCCCAGTGGGACAGTTTGTCAAGTCTTGGACTAACAGAATTGAAGTCACTTGTATTCAAATAAGGAGTGTCTTATTTTCTTCCAACATATGGATGGGGTCAAATAGGTTAGATGATCCCACATGAGCTAACAATGTCCCTGTTTCTTATTATTTTACACACTACATTTCTCATTTGTTTACCCACATGTTAAAACAAGTAAGGAACAAGGGGAGACAAGTATATGTCTGGAAAGTAGTGTGATAGAAAAGGTGTATGTAATGGACAGAGTGATGTAATGGATAGAGTGACAGACTAGGACTCAGGAGACCAGGGCTCAGATCCCTGTTTGGCCATGGAAACTCACCGGATATGTGTGTATAACACTCCTTAAATATGTATCTTGAAAGCCCTATTAGGGTTGTTGTAAATTAGGTCTGACTAGACAGCACATAATACACATATGCATATGCAAATACTGACTAGAAAGCCAGTGACCAAATTACATTTATGAATCAAACATATATGTCAGCAAAGTGTCTTGTAACAGTAAAACACAGTTTCAATTTATGCATTTCTAAAATCTTATTCTAGGAGAAGACTGATGTGGAAGGAACATTATTTGTTTACACAAGGTGAGAAATTTTTATATTTTAAAAACAGTATCTTTCCTGCTAAATAACTGACAAACAGAGCAAATGAAGTGATATCTTTGGATTAACAAATGAACATTTTTTTCAGTTCCATTGTCACCAGATGTGGATGTTCAGTTCACATAACAGAAATAAAAGATGCCCAATTTGATGATAACATGATACATGTTTTAGAAAAGATACTGCAGATTGATGATCCTTGGTGTCTCTTACCATCGCTTTTCCCAGTGATAAGTAATGAAAACTGTATAAAGGAAAAGGTTCTGTGTAGACCAAACCAAATGCAAGTGGAAATTGCCAGCAAAGAAGCTTTAAAAATCAATATTTCTGAAAACCACGAAGTCTTTGAAATTTATCAGATCTTCTGGATTAACAACTATATTAGGTATACCACTCATTTCTTGTATCCCCCTACTCTTTCTCAACCACTAAGTTCCTACACCTCCACATCACCATTTAGCCTCCAGCTTTTTCTTCAAGTCAGTATCCACTTTCCCTCTAATAATTAACACTGTGTTAATTCAGTGTGGTTCTTTACTGTTTGTCTTGCTCTTGAGAGAAAAAGAAAGGGTTGATGCTGAATTCAAAGGTAGAGCAGAGAAGTTGACCACAAAAAGAAACAGTGCCTTGTAAATGAGTGATGAATTGAAAAAGAAATGCAACTGACAGAGAAATTAGTGTGAATAAGAAGAAAATGCTAGATAATCCATAAATGTGTTTTAGTTGTTAACAGTGCAAACAGTAGCTTACGGCAAGGCAGCTAAAACTGGGGAGTTTGTTCACACTTATTTATTTCAGACGTTGGGCAGAAATATTCTGTACCATCCATCTTTTTCATGATGCCTCTACCTTTATAGCCACTATTCTTTCTGCTGTGACATTAATTTAATCCAATAAAGGAACTTGCTTTTTTATTGTTTTCTCATGACTTGCTTCTCCTACTTTTTTCGGTTTTGCCCTAAATTTATAATGGATGGTGAGAACTACAAATCACCAATAGCAATATTCCATTTACTGGTTAATTGAATAAAAACTAGCAGGTCGGAGCACAAGGTCAGAGTTACAGAGTTACTGAACAAACAGAATAGAATAAATTGTGACAGTAGTCTCCTATATATGTTTGCATAGGAGAAAGACCCACAGTGTTGAGCGGGGCTTACTCATTGTTATTGGTGGCAGGTTACGTCAGAGGCTGACATAAGAAAAAAGCATATGATTTCTGCAGCCTGGAAAAGTACTATGTTGCATATGTAATTATCCTCCTAGCCCAGATGTGATCATTATTTAAGCTATGTGAACTCTGATCATGTTAATTTTGTTTTGCTTCTTTTGTTCTGAGTAGTACCCCTGCTGTAAACTCCTGCATATGTAATAGGATGTTCTCTATCTCTTATCTGTTTACATAATGGTATCTTCTCTTTGAATCTTTCTTTGCTGCATCTTTGCCAGCTATTATGCTTTACTAATAATACAGATTATATCCATTTGCATGCACACCTGTCCGTCATCTCCAGATATATGTATACAAACTCCTGCTTGTTTGTATTGCTTATTTTCTGTGGCACTAATACCTGCCTACAATGAATACTGTCAGGAATGAATGAAAATGCCCCTGTGTATAAGAATGCACGTAGTTTATTTGTTCCCAGTAGAGGCATGATTGCTGCATAAAATGTAAATTATCCTTTCACGTGAGGGGGTTTGTGGCAAATGTTACATTTTATTTACGCTTTACATTTCAGAGCAGCAGTTGCAGTTGTAAGTATGCTTATTAGGATGTAAGTGAGTAAGACTGTGCTATACATAACAGATCTATCTACCTTTTTTACAGTGATATTAAAATTTTTGCAACTGATGATTTAATCATTTGCAGTTCAGTTCAAACTTCTCAACAGCCACTTGCTTTCACCCTTTGTGAATGAGAATCTTTTTAAAAGTATGGTATGGGGAAACACTTCATAAGTTTAACCAAAAGAAAATAATAATAATAAAAGACAGAACCCTTTTGGCATCTTAGACACTAACCATTCTTTTTCAGTGTGAGTGTTCATGGACCAGTCCACTTCTTCAGACATATGAGGTAAAATACTGAGTTACAGAGTAAAACATTGTCTCGCTTTAAGATACAGTGATATATGATTGCAGTTCACATGTGAAATAATTTATGACCAATATTTGGTGTTGAATTCTTTTGAACTCTGGTTTTGTAAACGTTCCCACGGAAGACAGAAAACAAGGCAAGAGCGAAAAAAGTGTGAGGTGGGAAGGGGTGATCATAAAGACCAATTGTAAGCAGTAACATAATTAAAGGAGACAGCAAAGGAACTATGTGTGTTAATATAGGGAATATGAAGAGTTTTTAATTTTGAGCTTTATACTGAGTTACCTCATATGTCTGAAGAAGTGGACTTGTCTACGAAAACTCACATTAAAATATGACAGTCTTTAAGGTGCCACAAGGATTTTTTCTTTAGGTTTTGCCAGATACGCTTGCACAGACTAACATGGCTACCGCTTCTAGAACTCCATAGGTTATTTTCTGTTTTAGGTAAGCTAGGTGTAAGTAACAGAGGTATCGTAACAGACCACTGCAACGCGCTCTACGTGGGGCTGCCTTTGAGGCTGATGTGGAAACTTCAGATGGTGCAGAATGCAGCGGCCAGGCTCCTTACTGGAGTGAGAAAATACCAGCACATTTCTCCTACCATGGCCAGCCTGCATTGGCTGCCCATTCATTTCCGCATCGATTTCAAAGTTTTAATGCTTACTTATAAGGCCCTAAACGGTTTGGGACCTCGATATCTGGTAGAACGCCGGCGCCCACCAAGATCTACCCGGACCACCCGCGCAAGCCAGGAGGTGAGTCTGAGGAGCCTGACGCCAAGGGAGGCCCAGAGGGAAAAGACTCGAAACCAGGCCTTCTTGGCGGTGGCTCCTCGCCTTTGGAACAGTCTCCATCCTGAGATTTGTGCGGCCCCTACGCTAGGTACATTTAAAATTCAATTAAAAACATGGCTTTACATCCAGGCCTTCCCTCCTGCCAGCATTTAACTTCCTTTTTCTTGGCTATCTATCATTTCTCATCTTTTGGAATGTTCTGTTACTAATGATGTAAATGGATTTATATTGTTTTAATTGTATATATGTTTGTTGTTAGCCGCCCAGAGTGGTAGACTATACCAGATGAGCGGGATATAAATCAAATAAACAAACAAACAAACAAACAAACAAATCCTAAACCCCTTTAATGAGCATCCAAAGGGAATTAGAATATGTCAGAAATGTCCTCTGCCAGTGGAGATGAATTCCACTAGCTGCCTTAAATGGGAACAGCTGTCTCCATCGTAAAGGTTCCTGTTACAAGTGAAAAAGGTGTCCCAGGCAGACGTCAAGGCCTGGTTAGTTCACATCCTTGTTATTCTTTGCTCTTCTGTTGATCTTAGAGAAGGGCCAGAACCTTAACACCTCAGATATATCTCAGTGGAGCTGACAGGTACTTCCATGTCCTCCATTATTTCCAGAAGGGAGAGCATTCTAGATAAAAATAGGCACTGTTGGGCTAAGTAGCTGGTTAAAGTATTGCCCTGAACCCCTGGCCTTTATGAACTCTCAGGGTTTTGGAAATGATGTGTGATCTGCCACTTTATTCCCCCATGCTGGAGAGGAGGAATGTGCTGGGTATGTGAGAGGAAGTGATGGGTAAAATTATCTGATATAAACTTCTGCAGATCTTTTTGCAGGCTTGGTCTGCAAATAGCAATTTTGATTTGTTCCTTCCTTTTTGGAAATATTATTAAACAATAATACTAAAATATGTGGAACACAAACTTAATGAGTGGGAAATATCTATGTCATTATTTGAGAGTTTAAAAGCACTTCAGTTCAATAATCATGATGATGATTCCCTCATGAAGGACAATATTGTTGAATGAGAGAATTTTTATGCATTATAGCTCTTGTCAAATAATTTCTTCCTTGGCTTTTTGGAGTAGGATATTAAAGTTAGCATGTATGTGTATGTACAGTATGTATGAAAAATAGGTGCTTTGGGGGAGAAAGAAGCCATTACTTTTTGAGAAGGGATGACCAGAATTATTTTTTTATGAAAAAAGAAATGCATAGTTGCTGCTGCTTCCACAAGAAATTGATTTTAACTATGATGTGTCACTTCCAGAAAGCCAAAAGAAGGGGAAGTTTCGCACAGCTGATCGGCGGTTCCAAAATGGCCGGTGGAAAAATAAAATGGCAACCACTGTTTTGCCTCGCTTTATTGAGGTTCTTTGCATAAGGTCAGTTTTTAAGCCCATAGGAATGCGTTAAACACGTTTTAATGCGTTTCTGTGGGCTTTTAAAAATCGCTTAACAACAAAATCCCTTAACGACGTTTTTCCTGGAACGGATTAATGTCGCTAAGCGAGGCACCACTGTAAATCCTTCGATGACTGTCAAATTTGGACTGTTTCCACATACTTGGCCAGTATTTTTCCCTTAAATCGAGCTCAATTCTAAAGTATAATATCCTGGATGCTCCGGTTTCAATAATAATATGTTGAAAAAAGGGAAAAGTAATTGTGGAATTCCCCAATTTCACAATTTTGTGGAATGAGCTCCTTTACTGCTCACGCTTGCTTTAGCATGATAAGAGAGTTAAATTGCAATCTTTTATTTGTCCACCTGATCATAAATGCTACTGAAGTCATTGTGGTTCAGTTTTAATTAAACATAAGACTCTTCAATTATGGAGTGTCCAGCATTAATAAATGACATTAAAGTGGGAGCAGACCTCTAGTTAACATTTAAATATGGACAGAATTGCGCTGTACACAGATTCCATTCGGATAAATTTATGAAAAATGTTTTGTTAAATAAATAAATAAATGAATGAATGAATGAATGAATGAATGAATGAATGAATGAATAAGAAGCTAAGCAGAGAAACTAACTCTTGCTAGGCCCTCCCTTGGTTAGGTGATGAAATGTATGCCTTAACAAATAACAGAAACAATGTTTATGTAACTTAGAAAAGTTTAAAGGAACCTTCAAATTGCAGAATAGTTTACATCCAGGGAAGAAAAATGCAGAAACAACAAATCAATACAGGATATTAAGATCTAAAATTAGTAGAGAATATGGAGAGATATTGAAGAAAACTTTCCAGCCTGGGAGGTAAATATCTGTGTCAAAGTTAAAGCTTTAAAGAAACCAAAATGTATCTTCTTTTCAAGATAAGTGTGCTCCCTCAGTTTTTCAGAAGGTAATAGTTAATTGGGTGCTTTACTAATATAAATTTCTGTATTTTTAGCTGTATCTATTTTAAATGCATGTTTTGAGCTGCCTTGGGTCTGCCCCAAGAAAAATACAGACTGTAAAATAAATAAATACCTTTTAAAAACACCAACATTGCAGACATGTGTATGCAAAAGTACATTTTAAAATATTTATCTTATCGCAATTTTCGGTTGACTGTGAATGGTTTTGCATTTGATAATTTTCAGATCAGCTTCACCAAAATATGGATTTACCATAATGAATAGACTGAGCATGGAGAATCGGACAGAACCCATAACTAAAGATCTGGATTTCCAGTTGCAGGACCCTTTTCTGCTTTACAGAAATGCCAGATGTGAGTAAATCTTTTAGGAATGAGCTAGTATTAGATAATATTATACTTTGCTTCTGAAAATCCTATCTGTTAAAATAATCTAATTTGTATTCTGAAGTTTTAAAGAAATTTCAGTGACAAGCATAAAAATGGGGGAAATGAATGGGGTTTCTAGCTTTAGGGACCACAAATAGAGCATCAAAGGTCCGCATGCACTCTCTGGACCTCAGGTTATGCAGTGTTATACATCACAGCTTGAAAAAGGGTTGTCTTTAAGTGTAGCACCTCTTATACATTATTTTTATCTAAATTATTTGCTTAAGTCTCTTGGTATAAATCTCAAGAGTAAATTTCCGCCCTTAAATCAGCATAGTCTTTTGTCAAAGTGACTTCTTAACTGGCTGAATCATGAGCAGACCTGTTTAAACCATGACAAGTTTAGAATTGGTTTGGAGTGGGGGAAGCAGATGGAAGGGGCAACATTTGCAGGCTGGGAACAGCAGGCTGGGAAAGGGTAAAAGCCCCTTTTCATTTTAAATAATGTGGAATTGTGTCTCACTTCAGTGCATATAACATGTAAGTTAGGCAATAACTATTGTTCTTTATGTAACTATAAGATATCTCAATTCTGAACAGCTTGTAGGTATACTATGTTAGGATTTTCACAAATGTTATTAATAAACAATCCATCTGCCTAAGATATTACAGCATTCTTTATGTTTTAAAATGAAATTAGACTAGTAGGCGTAACATACAGTTGAAGGAATGAGAATAGTGGATTGCTTTCTGTGATATAAATGTTCATACAGAGACTGGTTGCCCACACACTATATTAGGACTAAGGAAATGTGGAGACCTTGAACCCTGTAAACTGGCTGTTCCTGATAGTTGGGTACTTCTTGACTTGGGACATGATAATGGCTTCCTCTTCATTATTACTGAAATTGAAAGCCTTGCATTCATCCTCCTTCCTCTTTCTGCCTGTGCATTTTGGGCACAAATATTTAACACAATAATAGAACAGCCAAGGGATTCAAGCATGATTCAAGTTAAGCCTTGCCTGCATGGCTTCATGTGCTTGTTGCTGCCATTCTAACTTTCTTTCTAACTCTGAAGATGTGTTGCTGCCATGGATTATTTTTATGTCTCTTCCAAGGCTCATATGGTGAATGAGGAAAAAAAACACTACAGCATATCACAGAAGTGAGTACACCCCTCACATTTCATAAATATTTTAGTATATCTTTTCATGTGACAACACTGAAGAAATGACACTTAGCTACAATGTAAAGCAGTGAGTATACAGCTTGTATAGCAATGTAAAAGCACTGTCCCCTCAAAATTACGCAACACACAGCCATTAATGTCTAAACCACTGACAACAAAAGTGAGTACACCCCTAAGTGACAGTGTCCATATTGGGCCCAAGTAGCCGTTTTCCCTCTCTGGTGCCATGAGACCCATTAGTGTCACAACTCTCTCAGACTGGTCACTGGAAGTTTCACATGGCACCTCATGGTAATGAACTATCTGAGAATCTGAAAAAACAAATTGTTGCTCTACATAAAGATGGTCTAGGCTAAAAGAAGATTGCCAAAACCCTGAAACTGAGTTGCAGCACAGTGACCAAGACCAAGCAGCAGTTTAACAGGCCTCGCCATGGTTGACCAAAGAAGTTGAGTTCCCATGCTCAGCATCATATCCAGAGGTTGGCTTTTGGAAAATAGACGTATGAGAGCTGCCTGCATTGCTGCAGAGCTTGAAGGGGTGGGGTGGGGTCAGCCTGTCAGTGCTTAGACCATAGGCTGCACACTGCATCAAATTGGTTTCCAGGGCTATCATCCCAGAAGGAAACCTCTTCTAAAGATGATGCACAAGAAAGCCTGCATAGGGTTTGCTGCACACAAGCAGACTAAGGACATGGATTTCTGGAACCATGTCCTGTGGTCCGGTGAGACCAAGATAAACCTATTTAGTTCAGATGGTGTCAAGTGTGTGTGGCAGCAACCAGGTGAGGAGTACAAAGAGAAATGTGTCATGCCTACAGTCAAGCATGGTGGTGGGAGTGTCATGGTGTGGGGCTCCATAAGTGCTGCCGGCACTGGGGAGCTACAGTTCATTGAGAGAATCATGAATGCCAACATGTACTGTGACATAATGAAGCAGAGCATGATCCCTTACCTTCGGAGACTGGGCCGTAGGGCAGTATTCCAACGTGATAATGACCCCAAACCCACCTCCAAAATGACCACTCCCTTGCTAAAGAAGCTGAGGGTAAAGGTGATGAACTGGCCAAGCATGTATCCAGACCTAAACCCTATTGAGCATCTGTGGGGCATCCTGAAATGGAAGGTGGAGGTGTGGAAGGTCTCTGACATCCACCAGCTCTGTGATATCATCATGGAGGAGTGGAAGAGGCCTCCAGTGGCAACCTGTGAAGCTCTGGTGAACTCTATACCCAAGAGGGTTAAGGCAATGCTGGAAAATCATGGTGGCCACCCAAAATATTGACACTGTGCCCAATTTGGACATTGTCACCTGGGGGGGTACTCACATTTGTTGCCAGCAGTTTAGACATTAATGGCTGTGTGTTGCGTTATTTTGATGGGACAGCATATTTACACTGTTATAGAAGCTGTATACTCACTGATTTACATTGTAGACAAGTGTCATTTCTTCAATGTCGTCACATGAAAAGATATACTGAAATATTTATGAAACGTGAGGGGGTGTACTCACTTCTGTGATATACTGTATATACCTGGCAAAGAACAGGAAAGGAGAAATTATTTTCCCCTTTCGTTCCTGTAGCAGTAGTTCATTTCCGGTTCTTTTTCTTGCCATCCAAGCAGGAAGCTACTGCACTGTGGCGTTTGTAACTATCCAGCTTTATTCAACATTCTGTTGTCTGTAAGGTACTTGTCCCTTTCCACTCTCCAGTTTCCTCTCAATTTAGTTAGAGTGGGCTGTGAAGAGTTTTTGTCTGAATTAATACTTAGGGTGAAATGAGGCACTACAAGTTAGGGAATAGATGAAATGTTTTGCAGTAAGGTTGCTATCCAGTTGGAAGTACAATAGTTATAGAATCTGGTATGTAGATGATAATTGGTGCAGCCCCCTTTTCTACCTCTTCTTAATTATTTTGTCAGTTTCAATGAATTGGAAATCATATATTTCCTTATACAGTTGAGATGTGAATGAGCCTTTTGCCAATTCAAGCGGCTTTTTATGGCAAAAGCAGTCAGAGTAAACCATTAGAGTGGACCCTCAACTTACAGACGGCTCAACTTACAGACTTTTCAAGTTACAGACTTCTCTGGCTGCAAAATTTAGATTTGACTTGCAGCCGGAGAATCGACTTACAGACCAAAAAAACCCCAAAATGGAACAAAAATAGAATAAAAACTGCCAGTTATGGGATTAATCAGTTTTCAATGCATTGTAGGTTAATGGAGATTCGACCTACAGACTTTTTGACTTGCAGCCACCATTCCAATACGGATTAATTCCGTAAGTAGAGGGTCCACTGTATCTCAAACTAGTTTTGTCTAAAGTAAGAAACAAGATACTGTGGTGCCTCACTTGACGATTACCTTGTTAGACAAGGAAATCGCTTGACGATGAAGATGTTTTAATAGGCAAAAATCGCTTAACGACGATCGGTTCCCTGCTTCGGGAACCGATTTTTCGCTTAACGATGATCTTTACAGCTGATCGTCAGGTCTTCAGAATGGCTGCCCGCTGCTTAAAATGGCTCCCCACTGTGTTTTAGGACGGATTCCTCGCTTTATAGGCACCGAAAATGGCCACCCTATGGAGGATCTTCTCTGGACGCTGAGGTATTTCGCCCATTGGAACGCATTGAACCGGTTTTCAATGCATTTCAATGGGCTTTTTCGTTTCGCTTGACGAGGATTTCGCTTAAAAGCGATTTGAATGGAACAAATTATCCTCGTCAAGCGAGGCACCCACTGTTCTTTGTCTAAACGAGGAAACTGCATGAAAGCTTCAGAACAAACCAAAATCCAAACCAGGGAAGTATCATTTTTTAAAGTGGTGGTGTGCGTGGTCAAATGCTTATACTTCATCTTGGTTTAATAAGATGATGTACAGTGGTGCCTCGCTTAGCGATGTTAATCGGTGCAGCAAAAATCGCTGCTAAGCGATTTTTAAAAGCCCATAGAAATGCATTACAATGCGTTTAATGCGATCCTATGGGCTTAAAAACTAACCTTATACAAAAATCCTCCATTGTGGTGGCCATTTTCGGTGCCTCTAAAGCGAGGCAAAACAGCGGGCGACCATTTTGTTTACCCAGCGGCCATTTTGGAACTGCTGATCAGCTGGCCGAAAATGGGGGCTTTGCGATGATCGTTTCCCTGTGATCATCGCAAAGCGAAATTTCCCCATGGGGGCCATCGCAAAGCAATCACTCTTGTGATGGCAAAAAGTCCATCGCAAAACGATTTCATCGCTGTACGGAGCGATCACTATGCGAGGCACCACTGTATTTTGATCTGAATGCGGCCACACTGTTTCCCTTTGTTCTGTTTTCCTTAAGGTGAGTGATTTCTTTCTCCCTTTCCAATACAAAGATTGAGTAAAAAGCTGTTCCATTCTTGGAGCATGTATACTTCATGAACCCATCTCCAAGCAAAAAGTATATTTAATAATAAAAGTAGTGGTTACTCTAAGAGAATTTCCTCTTCCTGCTCTATCATTAAATTGGCCAGTACTTAAATTCATCAGATTGTTACACATTTTTCTGTTCTGTGTGGTTTTGTATACTGTTTGCAATTTAATGCTGGTTAACCTTTTCTGTATAATATAAAAATAAGCATTTGCAATGTTTAAACCCACTTGTTGCAGGAAAAGAATTTTGAAAATCAACTAGGAGGCGTTGAACTGGTAGATGAAAATGTTCAAAATATCTTGACCACCACAACGTTTTTAAAGCAAACTTTGCAGCTGGCTTGATTTCATGAAACTGGTTTGATTTTATGACTGAATTATCTGCAACATGTCCAAAGAAATGGAGATCTGTTTGGGAGCTCAAAAGACTCAGAAGTGTTGGTTTCAGAAGAGAACACTTTCTCATGCTCTTAAGGGAGCTGTTTTAGAATAGGTCAGTAATATATAATTTATCAGAACAGGAAACCTGCTTGAACTGTGCTGTGCAAACAACACTGTCTTTTTAGAGACTATGTGATAGAATTTTACAGTTAAAGTGTTCTGGAAATTCCTCTAGACCAGAAGGTTTCGAATTTACTCAGTTGTAAAGAACTTCTTCCTGTCTGTCTGCTGCAAAACTGTGTGACAAGGTAAAGGGTATGAACATGGTTCATGCTGAGCATTGGCAAGGCTTCATAATTTGTTACATGATTGTGCAACCTTAAACTTAACCTGGACATTCTTGTGACTACACACTGTGGGAGAAGATTGTTAATGGTTGACAGCCAATTTTTCAGAAAAGCCTGTCCACAATTATTGATGTTATGCTGGTTGGACTGTGTGTCTAGAAGTAGAAATGATTCTTATAACTGGCGGAGATTGCCTGCTTTATTTCTCCTGCAAATGTGTATATAAACACGAGCCTGTCATTGCAACAACACAGGAATGGTCTGTGAAACCGACTTAATGGAAATCTGTAGTAGGTTCAGTCTGTAGCTTGATGAATGTTCCATATTTTTTCCAGAGCAAAACTATGCCATGTGAGAAGAGATGGACTGAAGTGCCTAAGATAACGATGCTATGCAGACTGTCAGCAGCTAGTGCTGCTTGCCTTCGATGGATTTTCAGTCTGGAGGGGCGGAGCTGGGGGGTGGTGGTGGGGGAGAGAAATCCATGTAGATGAAAGGCAATGCTATGTGCACTGCTTGAGTTTTCTGAAGGATGTGAATAGGATTCATAAAATCAACAAATAATCATCGTAGTTTTGTCACAGTTTGCCTTTATGGATTTCCAAACATCAGTAACAATTGTCTGTCTGGACAATGTGTTGAGAACAACATGCCAGCTAGGGAAATTCTGGACTTTGAGATAAGATAGGGCATACCAAATGGATGATAATTAAAAGAATGACTTCATTTTATATTTTAAAAAAGAGCGATTTCACGTCACTTTGTCTGATTAAAAATATGCGGAGATGAGTTCTATATTATCATTTCCTCCAAATATATAAAACCAATCCAAATTCCTTGTAGCTTTTGAAAATTAATAGATCAGAAGAGAAATACCTTACAGAAACTTGACATTTTCAAATTGGTTTAGTTAACAGTATTTTTGTTCAATATGGTTAAGCTCAGTTGGTTTTAGTTGGACTTTTAAAATATTTGCAAGGGATTATAAAATTGCTGTTTTAGAGATATGAGAAATAAGAGGCAGCGAGATTAAGTCCATGCAAAAGAATAGCCAGGTTATTTAATGTCAGTGAAAACAAAAATGGGTATAAGATAGAGACATTTCAGTTGAAATTAGTGACATGATTAAAAGTGCATAAATTAAGGTCCATCTGATGAATTAGGCTGTAGCCTATATAAGTAGTCTTTAGTGTATAGTCTTTTGGGGTCTTTATACATCATGTTTTGACTTGTTTCCTCCAAATACTCCCCTATTCTAAATAAATAAATAAATAAATATTCTAGGTCTTTCCCATCAGAACTACATTCTAGATTCACACTGCTCTTGTCCTGTAGGAATTAATCATTATATCTTTGGTAGACAAAAATGCATTGACATTGCATGCTTACGATATTTGCTGTGCCTGCATATACCTTCAAGTGTTGTGGAATTCTCCAGATACCTCTCTTGCTTATTTATAAACTGTATTATGGAATGCCACATTAGCAGTTACCAAATGTTACTCATAAAAAGTTTCCTTGGGCATGTCACTGTGATTTCTTACCTCCCGGTGGAATGTAGAAACAGCTCAGTTGGGTTTCGTGGACCATTCTGCCAGTATACTTCACCCCTGGTTCTTCTGGTGGATGTGCAGGGAGTGGACGATAGGTCGAGGTTGCTTGCCGAACAATGGACTGAAACATTCTGTCCTTTTGAAATGAAATTTCACAGTTGCTTGTCAGTGGCACTCTACCTTAAGAAACGTCTACACACAAAGTTGTAAAGGTAGCCGATTCCCAGAAGTACATAGTTTTTAGTCCAAGCACTTCAAAATCTGAGCAGCAGCGCAGACTTTGCCCTTTCCCCCTGTCTCCTTCTTTCACTCTGTGCCTTAAGCTTGCTTAAGATCCCTCTGCTCCTCTGTTAGTTTTACAGGAAAACTTGGAGTGAGAAGTGAAGATACTGTAATGGGCTCCATCTGCCTGTCAGTTCATCACTTCCCTGAGCCATGAAGGTCTCTGGTTTGCATACATCATCACCACCACCATCTATCTGATAACATACCCTTGTGTTAGAGGAAGATGACTTTCTAAAGAGTTTTTTAGACTTTCTGGGCTTTACCCAATGGGAACATTTCTTTTCCCAGAGCCATGATCTCTCTCTCTCTCTGTCTCATTCTCTCAAAAGAGTTCCAGTGCAGTGTAGTTACAAATGGTGATAAACATGTGGAGTTTGTGTAATGGATGCGCACTGTAGATCATGTAATGTGTATCTGGATCCTTTCATCTGTATGCCATATGACTGATGTAGAATGCCTGTTCTAGTACAAGCACTGAATACTAGCCTTTACATATTTCCCAGCAATTAAAAAATAAGGGCAGGATAGCATTCCCTTAAAAGGAAAAGAATGCAGTCCATGCTGTAACTATGCAACGTTTCCTGTAAAATTAATCTGGAGATTGCAAATGGCTCCACGGACAGACTTTAAAAAATGGTTGAAGAGGATTCTCTGTTTGTACCTGGGATTCTAAATTGTTCAGCAGCAGCTTGTTTTAATAGTTGTGCTATCTTTTCTTTATTTCCAGACTTTCTAGAAATGATGGACACAATTGTAGTTGATTTCTGGTCTGTTCCAGGCAAAAGAATTATTTTAATATATGTTATTTTATATTGTCTTTTAAAATGTTTTTAAGTTTTAATGTTGTACGCCACCCAGAAGCCACTGGTAATGGTGTGGCTAAAAATATTGTAAATAAATAGAGACTGTCTGTTTCAGATGTGCATTTCCTGCTGTGCCATAACACCGCTGAACCATACTGCTGAAAATCCCATTTGTTTATTACTATATTGCATTCATTTAAAATGTCATTGAACCTTTCCTTGGCTCTGATCCTATGGCTTTGGGACACTCATTTTTATTTAACTAAAACAGGCAACACTTGGCAAAATAAATTCCGTTACATAGTTATTGTTACTTTTGCTTCTAACCAGAAACTAGCCACAGTTTTCCTAGACCAAGAAGAGATAACCACCATTGCTAATATCCTGCCTAGTTTGTTGGAGAAAAAAAATGGTTTTAATTGTTTTGAAGTATATGGCTTAATCTGTTCCTTGTAGATTAAGATATTTACCTATGCAGTGCTTTATAGGTTATACATTGATCATGTACATTCAGTCCAGTTAAAACATGTGTGGACATATTATTTTGATTTCTTCAATTTAAAACAAAAGTATTTCAATACTTCAAAAACAAGAGTCACTCTTCCAAGCAGTTAAAATATATGCTTTTGCTATTCAGCTAAATATGGTATCAGGAAACAAAACCCGAAAGTGACGCACAGTATCTGTCATGTCCTCCATTTTTTACTTCTGTGTCCAAACTGTGTTGGTTCTTTGTGTGTTTTTAGTAGAAAGCAATTGCTCCCTTTTCTTTGCTTATATTTCAGAGATGGGCATATGTTTCAAAATTGTGTGCACTGTTTGTGTATGTTTCTCTGCTGACTAAAAAGGACTTGCACAAATTTTTGAAACGTGGATTTTTTGAATGGTAAAGTATATTCAGTCCATCTCCATTTCAAACCGCAGGCAGGGAAATTTCGCTGTGGTGTATGTCTCTCTCTGTCTCTCCATCTCTCTCTTGACTGCTTCTGGCTGCTCTTAGTGAGCAGTTGTACTGGCAGATCCAGTTGTTCCAGCAGATCTGAGATCAGCTGGTGCAAGGGCAGTTGTTCCAGCAGAAGAGTTTTCTTCCAAACCCAACACAGCTGGGTTTGGAAGTATCAGCTGGGTTTTGAAGCACCAGTAGGTAGCAGCAGTAGACTAAAGATCTGTATTAAGTGTATTATCCATTAGGCACATGACCCACAAATTATTTATTCAAGTATTGATAAGTATTGGGCTAAGGAATTTCTTGCAATTATGGTAGCCTTTTACACTGCTTTCCATAACTTTTCACTACTTAGTGTTCCAATATTTAGCTTTCCTAAATAAAAGCCAGTACATCTTTCATAATGGTACAGATCTTGTTTTGCCTGATCTGATAGTTGGTTTTGTGACATGGCATCTTTCTCTAATTCCACCTTCTGTTCCTTGGTTTACTAGTGGATTTTTCAAAGGATTTTACATCAAATGTTGACCATTTGGAGCATGTGTTTACTAAGTCTTTTCTGTGATCTTGGGTTACTTCAAGGTTAAATCTCTCCCTCCATAATCCTGTTCGGTATAGTGTTTCAAACATATTTATTAAGCATTTACTAAAGAAAGGAAAGAACATGTAAAATTTTGAACATGTAATTCCTTGGAAGAAAGTTATGTTCTATTGCCAGATAGACAGAAATTGACAAGACAGTAGCAGGGCAGTAAAGGACAAATGAGGTTCGTCATAGTGTACCCAGAGTGGATTAAAACTGATTATTAAAAAATAAATCAGATTTTTTTCATTTAAATACAGTTTTCTATTTAAAATACATTATGAAGGTTATTCAGCATGAAATAGAGCTTAGTTAAGTAGCATGAGGCTGTATATTCATGCAATATTTACATTTTTGGTAAACTAATTCAGTTAATCCAAATTATCCAAACTGAGATAACATGCACTTTTTCACAGTAAAATTGTATAAAATAAAGTTCTGAAAAAAAAACTTAGTCCCATTGTTGTTCTGCAACTCTGTGTAGAAATAATGAACACATTACCTTAAATGCTAGGTTTGAAGTTTGTACCAGGCTCCTAAATTTGAGGAGGGAGGGGCAAATGTTAAAAATGAAAGTGAAACATTCTGAGCAGCTTACAAACCTTGGGATCTTTGTGCACATAGCTTGAAGTTCATCATCTGGTTGCAAATATTAAAAATTATAATTACCAGCAAGAACTAGTCTTTTACATTTAAAAATAATGATTTAAATTGATTTACTAGTGATTTCAATCATGATTAAAATTTCTTTATTTTATTTTGTTTATTTAATTTATATCCCATCCATCTAGACCAAAGTCTGCTCTTAAATCCGCTCTGGGTGTACCCTTAATTAGAGATGGCAAATTTACACTAGAGTTTCACACATGCATAACATATGATTTGCTGCTAAACTGCAGCTTTTCTGAAAATTGAGTGTATGCTTAATAAATATTTTTTAAATTCCTTCTGAGATTCCTTGTTTTTGTAAATTAGCCGTGTAGAGTAACACTGAGCTGGAATGGTGATCAGTTCAGGCACTGCAAAACTAATATTTTTCCTTGTAAGAATTTTTTATCCATGTTGGATCAGTGCATAAGCACTAGAGGTGAAACCTCGTACGTAGAACAATCGTAGCAAAATGTTGTTTTCTGGCGTCATTTCCTATTCAAAATTTTTTAGAAACTAAATTAATTTGCAGATCAAAAAGTAACCTTATAGTGGTAGGTGTTTATTGCCACATAGGAGTTAAATGAAGACATTTCTGTTAGCATGGGCTTGTTTCAGCCCACATAGGTACATTAATTATGTCCCTTATAATGATATATGCTTCTCTAGTATCTTCTTCTTGACAGCATTTTGGTACACACGGAGAAGTAAATCTGACATTCTTCAAATTGGACCTCTGCCTCATGTGGATCAGAAACAAGGGTTGGGGCCAGTTACTCTGCTATTACAGTAAAATTTGAGCCAGAAAGAAGCAGATGGTAGAGAGGCCTCTATGTAGGCATGCATATGTACTCCCAGAGAATTCTCAACCCCTTTTGACCATCTGCTTTGTGATAAGAATCTTTTATAAAGTAGTACTGTATGAGCCTTGTGGAAAGCATGATGTGATGTTTCTTTCTTTTTTAAGGTTCATTGTATCTTATGTGAGAAAGATGGTGTAAGTGGAACTTTTTCCCCCCTATTCTTTCATCTAAGAAAATCTTAGTGCCAAAGAGATAAATTCAAACAGATTGTAAGATTCTGGATAAAATTGACTGGTATAGTCCAACGTTCTGAATGGTCTCATTTACCATAGTGTTGTATTACAATAAATGGAGTATTGTTGCAGTCTTGTTTAATTCACTAGCAAAATCTTTAGCTCTCTCTTTTTAAAAAAAAACTTCATAAGAACAATGTTTTCCCTGAAGTAGACACACAAAGGAGCTGACAGAAGTAAGAGCAATAAATATTTATGATAAATGGCAGTGTAATGCTAAAAACATGTCATGAAAGTAAATGACTATCATAAATTACTAGGTTGTGACTAAATTAAGACAAAGACCTGGGGAGGTAGGGAAAGTGGAAAGGAGTTTGTTTTTCTAGACAGCCTATTGCTTCTTGTTCCTATCTTATTGAGAAGTCCATTTCAGAAAGTACAGATGTTTCTTAATTCTTTTGTTTTTCAAACTGTTGTTGTTTAATAGACAATAAAACATACCTGAACTGAGTGATGACTTGCATCTTGGTCAATACAATAACAGTGATGATGACTTCTGCAGTGTTAGGTTTATTTATTTATTTATTTATTTGGACTCTTGGGTTCAAAACCAAACTTTTGTTATGTAACACACATAAAACTGTATTACTGAAAAGGTGACATTGAATTCAAATATGTTTTGAGGGCAAACTGTTTGAAAATAGGTGCTGTATGTACAGTATATTTAGCTGGAGAAATAAAACAGTTCTCATTACCACTTTCAGTAGATTTTGGGGAAATTATTTCAAGAGTGGAATTTATTAGCTTGTGTTATATCCACAGACCTTCAAGGTTAATTTTCTTTTTCTGTGTAAAATTGAATGTATTTGAACATTATAAAACTAACACTGTCTCCTAAATTATGTATACAGTAATCCTGGAGCCATTACAGCCTATTGTGTTAAATGCTTTATTTAGACAAGTAATACAAAAATTTGGGAGGTAATTATAAAATGTTCTGCACAAACAGACACAGCGTTTTAAATGTTACTGCTTTCTCTAATTGTAATGAGGACCTCTCTTCTGAATCCAGTGTGTTCGAAGCTAACTCCTTAGCAAATATATTTTAGTTACATTAAGATCTCTGATTTCTAGCAGTGAACTATTAAAATGGATGAAAGTCAGGCAAAGACTTTCATTTTCTTCCCAAAACAAAAACATTATAAGGTTTCATATAACCTTATCAAATAAAATAAAACATAAGATACAGGTATCTCAGAAAAGCATGTTTAGAAGGTGTCTTCAGCTTTTCCCTGTGTAGATGGGTGGCTGATCATTAATGCAAAGGGTGGAGGTTGGTTTAAAAGAGCCCAGAAACCTAAATTATGGGTAGGGATGGTATACCTTCTAGAATTGAACTATATAGTAGCCTCAAACAATTTAGCTAACTGATGAATGGTTTGACATGCAGCCAAACACCTGTGAAGGGACAGATCTTCCCAATCTGTGGTGTAAATTCTATAGAGTTCCAACTGTTAATTTCAAAAATAGAAATCCTTTGGAGTGAGAATATGGGAAGAAGCTAGAACAAATAGAGATTGGGCCTCTTTGATCATAACTCTTAACAAAATCTCTATGGAATCTGGAATGTAAGAGGAAGTGGTAGAGACAGACATAATCAAGACCCAAAAAAAAAATCCTTGGTTGTATGGAAAGCCTGGAAGAGATTGGAGTGCATTCAGGCTACTGTACCATTTACAGTGGTGCCTCGCACAACGAGTGCCTCACACAACGATGAATTCACACAACAATGCCTTTTTCTGTTAAATTTGCTGCCTCACACAGCGATGTTTCCTATGGGGGATTTTCACACAACGATCTCCCTTTTCGCTCCTGTAAAAGTGTCTTACAATGTTTGGAAGCTGTTTTAAATGATTGCTATGGTTAGTCCACCTCCTGAAACCTATGCAAACTGATTTTGGTGTTGTTCTGACACTTCGTTAATTTATGATGATTTTTTGTTTTTTCCATTGGAAACCATTAGACAGACCATCCAATGGTTTCCAATGGAGAAAATTCAAAAAATCATCATAAATTAACGAAGTGTCAGAACAACACCAAAATCAGTTTGCATAGGTTTGAGGAGGTGGACTAACCATTGCAATCATTTAAAACAGCTTCCAAACATTGTAAGACACTTTTACAGGAGTGAAAAAGGACTTCGCAAAGGCATTGAAATGTATTGAGTCGGCTTCAATACATTCCAATATAGGAAACATTGTTTCACTCAACGATGTTTCCTATGGGGATTTTCACTGAACGATGGCAATCCGTTCCAATTGGAACGGATTAACTGGTTTTCAATGCATTCCTATGAGAAATGGTGTTTCACAGAACGATGTTTCACACAACGTTGATTTTTTTGGAACCAATTAACATCGTTGTGTGAGGCACCACTGTACATGATGGAACATCATTTTACTGATCACATTGGTAAAATACTGGATAGCTAGAAACCCTGTGGAACTACGAGTTATTTCAGAGGCACTGCTCATCATGAACTGTAGGAAGGGAAGCAGTAATGTAAACTGTTTGATGGCCTGATGTAAATTTTGTAGCTTGGCATTTGCATTATGTAGCAAATGATTGTAAGAGAACCAAGAGAAAGTTAAAATGCAACTGTTTGAGGCTTATGAAGTTTTTTTAAAACCTTAGAAAACCAATTATAATGAGGTTGCTGCCATGATGCAATGTTGTTCATCATTTGATGTTCATTTACAGTGTCCATTTATGGGATCTGGTTTTATGATAAAGAAGAATGCCAAAGAATTGCTGAGCTCATGAAAAAGTAAGTCTTGAGGGGCAAAGAAAGCCTTTGGGAAATTCTTTGGTGTGTGTTTTTTACATGCTGTATCACTGCTGCTGTGTATGGTTCATCTAATATATGCACCCTTGATACGGAATTGGCAAGCATATTTGCTTGCATCAACTAAGGTCTCAACTCTATACTGAGCCCTACACGGGAGTAAACTTTCTTGAAATCACTGAGATTGGCTTAACAGTAAATATGCATAGAATTGTGCTGTAAAGCATTCTTAAACTGTGAAAATTTTATTTTGGAGGTAAAAGGTTTCTTTTCATTGTGAAAGGAAAGATACTCTCCTTTGATTACTAATATGGGTATTTTAATGATGGGGGAATATCCTAAATAGCTCTAGGGGAATTGTATTTGAGCTGGGGGTTGCATTTTTCCCATATAGTTTGCAATGCTTTTGATCTTCCTTGCCTGGTAAATGCAAAAGTATATCCTGTGTATCCTGACCAATTGAAATAGAGCTGTTTTTAAAATCTGTCTGGTGATATAGGTCCTTTAGTGCCGTCAGTATCACTCCAGTTATCAAGTCAAAAACTAGAACTTTCAATAAAGATTATGTACAGCGGATATAAAAAGTTTACACAGCTCTGTTAAAATGTCAAGAGTGTCAACTGTGATGTAAACAAATGAGACAAAGATAAATCATTTCAGAACTTTTTCCACCTTTAATGAGACCTATGAACTGTACAACTCAGTTGAACAACAAACTGAAATGTTTTAGGTGGAGGGAAGTAAAAATAAAAAAACTGAAATAATATGGTTGCGTGTGTGTGCGCACCCTCTTATAACTGGAGATGTGTTCAGCAGTAAACTATCACATTCAAACTCATGTTGAGTAGGAGTCAGCACACCCCTGCCATCATTTAAAGTGCCTCTGAGGAATCCTAAATAAAGACCAGCTGTGCTAGTAGGTCTTTCCTGACATTTTCTTAGTCACATCCTGCAGCAGAAGCCATGATCCGCAGAGAGCTTCCAAAGCATCAGAGGGATCTCATTGTTAAAAGGTATCAGTCAGGAGAAGGGTACAAAAGGATTTCCAAGACATTAGATATACCTTAGATAGATCAAGTGGAGAAAATATGGCACAACAGTGACATTACCAAGAACTGGACATCCCTGCAAAATTGATGAAAAGACTAGAAGAAAATTGGTCAGGGAGGCTTCCAAGAGGCCTACAGCAACATTAAAGAAGCTGCAGGAATATCTGGCAAGTACTGGCTGTGTTGTACCTGTGACAACAATCTTCGTATGTCTGGACTATGGGGCAGAGTGGCAAGATGGAATCTTTTTCTTACGAAGAAAAACATCCAAGTCCGGCTCAGTTTTGCCAAACCTGAAGTCTCCCAAAAGCATGTGGGGAAAAGTGTTATGGTCGGATGAAACCAAGGTTGAACTTTTCGGCCATAATTCCAAAAGATATGTTTGGCGCAAAGACAACACTGCACATCACCAAAAGAACACCATACCCAGAGTAAAGCATGGTGGTGGCAGCATCATGCCTTGGGGCTGTTTTTCTTTAGCTGGTACAGGGACCTTAGTCAAGGTAGATGGAATTTATGAACAGTTCCAAATATCAGTCAATATTGGCACAAAACCTTCAGGCTTCTGCTAGAAAGCTGAACATGAGGGGGAACTTCATCTTTCAACATGACAACGACCCAAAGCATACATCCAGATCAACAAAGGAATGGCTTCACCAGAAGAAGATTAACGTTTTGGAATGGCCCAGCCAGAGCCCAGACCTGAATCCGATTGAATATCTGTGGGGTGATCTGAAGAGGGCTGTGCACAGGAGACACTCTTGCAATCTGAAAGATTTGGAGCGTTTTTGCAAAGAAGAGTGGGCAAATATTGCCAAGTCAAGATATTCCATACTGATAGACTCATACCCAAAAAGGCTGAGTGATGTAATAAAATCAAAAGGTGCTTCTACAAAGTATTAGTTTAAGGGTGTGCACACAGATGCCACCATATTATTTCAGTTTTTTTATTTTTACTTCCCTCCACCTAAAAGATTTCAGTTTGTTGTTCAGCTGAGTTATACAGTTCATAGGTCTCATTAAAGGTGGCAAAAGTTCTGAAATTATCTTTGTTTCATTTTTTTTACATCAAAGACACGTGACATTTTAGCAGGGGTGTGTAAACTCTTTATACCCACTGTATTTGATGTTATACTGTGAGAGTAGTGGTTGGTATTTTGAGAGGCTTATGCAAGATGCCTCTTTATTTATTGTTCGTAATTTTAAATATTGTCCTTGAAAGATGTTAACCACTGTTGAATAGTCATTGTTGCATAGTCATTGTTTTCAGCTTTCATTGTTGTAAGTTGCCTTGGTTCCTTTTCAAGGCAGTGGGTGGGGTAAAGATATTTTAAATAAATAAATAAATAATATTATACTCTTTGTTAGATTACCACTCCAAAGTTTTTGCTGTATTTGATATCTGGTGTGATCTTATGTTCAGCCTCACCATGATCCTAACCATTTGATGCCTCACCTGTAAAGTTTCAGTAACTGGTGAGAAAGTTCCCATGGAATGGCTATAAGCCACCACACAATATAGGCTTCATATTGTTGGTTTTTAAGATGGGGTGGACTCTTTTGTCCTGCCAACGAATTGGACTTCACTTTCCAGAGGCCTGTCAGCATGAATTGTACTTAGATATTTGGGGGGTTGTAATGCCAGACTGTTAAAGGACCACATCCCTGCATTAAGATATTGTGGTATTTCGTTTTTTTGTGGGAGCAGTGTGGCTGAACATGATGTCTGTATCATTCTACTTGCATTGACCAATGTATATATGTTTGTGGTGAAAGGGAAAGACTGCCTTTAGTTGTCTGCACCCGAATAGACACATCAGTGATACGAAATACTTTACTCAGGGTTTTAGGAGCAATAAGCTAACGGCTTGAAGAACCTGACGGATAATTTTTGTAAACAATCCCACACTGTAGTTATTGGTGATTAAATGTCTCTGAGGCTGATAATTTGCTTCAGTAAAAGACTAGTTTGTCGGGTACTTGTGCAATTGCAAACCGTGTTTAGTGGTTTATAATAGCAGCATTTCATCTGGTTAAGCATAGTTCAGCCAAGTTACTGCCTGCTAGAATTCTCAGCAGTTTGCAATAATTATAAAACAGCTGGGACAGGAAATTGGCTGTTTGCTGGCAGTTAAAAGACTTATTTGTGTGTATTTGCTATCCTTCCACCAACAACAATTTTTAAAAATGAGCCACTGTTTAATGCACCTCCTAGTTACAGAAAGAAGCTTCTGAGATGCTAGTACAGTGGTGCCTCGCTTAACGGCGATAATCCGTTCCAGGAAAATCGCCGTTAAGCGAAAACATTGTAAACAGAAATTAAAAAGGCCATTGAAACGCATTGAAAGCCTTTCAATGCATTCCAGTGGGCTTAAAACTCACCGTCCAGCGAAGATCCTCTAAACGGCAGCCATTTTCGCTGCCTGTATAGCGAGGAATCCGTCCCCAAACACAGCGGGGAGCCATTTTAATTACCCAGTGGCCATTTTGAAACCGCCGATCAGCTGTAAGAGAAATGTCATTTTGCGAAGAATCAGTTCCCGAAGCAGGGAACTGATCATCGCAAAGCAAAATTCCCCCATTTAGACCATCGTTTTAAGATCGCAAAAGATCGTCGTAAAGCGGATTCATCGTAATGCGGGGCAATCGTAAAGCGAGGCACCACTGTATTTGAGCCTTTTACAGTCCAGTATGCACAAAATTGAAGAAATCACATTATTAACCTTAGGCAAACTTTGTATTGTTGTTGTTGTTTTATTTAGTTTCCTTTTAAAAATCAACAACCTCAAACCACTCTTAATGTCTCTTAAATTATTTGAGGCAATCAAAGATGAATTCCATGTTCTCAATAATTTCTTACTTTACCCCCATTTCCAGTTTAACTCAGCAAGAGCAGCTGAAAGCACAGCACGGGGCTAGCATAGGAATTTCCCCGGTTAATCTGAATTCAGGTGACTGCAAAGAAGTGGATATACTACAGATGCTCACCAGAGCCAAAGATGAATATACCAAGGTACAGTATATTTTGATCTTTTGTAAAGCAGTGTCAGGCTTTCTTTTGCTTGTTTCATCTTTGATTCATTTTATTATGTAGTAGATTTGTTCACAGCAGTCTAAAATGCCAGTTTTCTCTTTTCTGTAAGATTTACATATGGGCCCTAAACTTGAGAACCAAGAATAGGCAAGTGATGTGAGCAGTCGGACCAGGTCTGCGATCATCAAGTGAGACTGAGGTTCTTTCCCTTATTCATTCACCTTTGCCACTGCTACTATCCTCTGTCTCCTTCATTAAGTTTCTTCAGTCATTTATATTCTGCTGAAATAAACAGGTGGTGAACGGGCTGCCAGCAGAAATGATGGGGGCCACAAAGGGGCTTCCAGATCCTGACCCAGCCCTGAAATAGAGGAGGCTCTTGGTATATCAGCGAAAGTCCTGGTCTTAGAAAGTGTGAAGACCCAAGTCCTGTCTTTAGGAGCAGAATTTCAGGAAGCCTCATGCTACCAGGAGAATACTTTTTCTTATGGTTGCTTCTGCCATTGTCTTTGTTCTTAAGATCAAGAGAAAGATCATTGGAGAAGAAGAGGGTTCATGTGGCTTAAGGAAAGCCAGGTACTAAATGAATAGTGTATTTCTAAGTGTATATAGTATAGCTAAAATTTAGTAAGAGTCTAAGAACTTGTCATCTTTCATAGCAGCCGGTTTTGTTCTCTTGTCCCCACAAATACGGAGGTTTATAGGGTACTTCCTCTCTACCGCTGAAGAGGACCCATCCAGCCCTAGTACCATTGAATTCTGGAGTTTATAGACCTTGACAAGTACTGACTTAAACAGTGTTTATGTGTCCACTGCTTTGTTATCCACTGATACGATAAGAAAAAATTGTGATGAGGGTCACTGGTACATATGATTTTAATGTTTATTTTTATGCCTTATTTATTTAATATTTATGTTCATATGCCATCTCTCTGCCAATGAACATGAGGCTCACAGTTTAAAAGAGTACCTTACAGTTTTAATAGGTATGCAACAAAAGGAAAAGGAGAGAAAAGTGAGTAGATTTAAGTACCACAGTGATTGTGTAAGATGTGTCTGGAAGAGGAGAACACATGTCCTTGATTTTCAGGATAAGTCCGTTAGTGGCTGTTAGTTCTGATACGTGTGACTTCACCCTTTTTTGGCCACTGTCTGACCACTGTGCTCTATGCACAGATAACTTCATGAGTAGATTACTGTACTGAGCTTTATGTCAGGCTGCCTTTATGTTTGGTCTGGAAGCTGCAGCTGGTTCACACAATGGCAGCTAGGATACTGAGTAGACTGGTGAGCTGTGTGCATATTAGGCCAGTGCTGAAGCAACTGCTCTGACTACCCTGTTTCCCCAAAAATAAGACCTAGCCTGAAAATAATCCCTAGTAGGATTTTTCAGGATGCTCATAATATAGGCCCTACCCCAAAAATAAGCCCAGTTAAGTGAAATCCCACCCTCCACCATTGTGCAGCAACCAGAAGAAGACATGACATGAATGAATGAATGAATGAATGAATGAATGAATGAATGAATGAATGAATGAATGAATGAATGAATGAATGAATGAATTATGGTCAGTTGACCAGCTCATAAAACATATCATATGGCTAAAATATACATTTTGAAAATGTACAGTCAGTTTATAAAACATATTATATGGCTAAAATATACAAAATGCAATTTAAAAAGTGCCCAACAGATAGTTGTGTACTAGCTGTAATATATTGGGAGGATCAGTTACAGCATTTTTATAGCTATCATTTGAACCTTTATCATCTAGGGCAAACTACGTTTGGACAGGGTCTTTGGGATATAGGGAGTCCTTCCTACATGTTTGTAAACATTTGTAAGCATTTCATCTGTTGACTGTACTTGAATAAATGCACAGTACATTGTTGTATGGGGACATGGTGGCACTGTAGGTTAAACCACAAAGCTTCTGGGCTGCAAGGTCGAAAGATCAGCAGTTTGAATCCACGCGGCAGAGTGAGTTCGTCCCAGCTCCTGGCAACCTAGCAGCTCGAAAGCATGTAAAAATGTGAGTAGATAAATAGGTACCGCCTATAAATAGGTTACCTTCCGGTGGGAAGGTAACGGCGTTCCGTGTCTAGTCGCGCTGGCCACGTGACCATGGAAATTGTCTATGGACAAACACTGGATCTGCGGCTTGGAAACTGGGATGAGCACTGCCTCCTAGTCGGACACAACTGGACAATTGTCAAGGGGAACCTTTACCTTTACCTAGATCGTTGAACATGAAAAAATAAAACATTGCCTGAAAATAAGCCCTAATGCATTTTTGGAGCAAAAATTAATATAAGATCCTGTCTTTTTTCCGGGGAAACACAGTACTTACTGTGTTTCTCCAAAAATAAGAGAGGGTCTTATATTAATTTTTGCTCCAAAAACATATTAGGGCTTATTTTCAGGGGATGTTTTATTTTACAGTCATATCTTCTTCTGGTTGCTGCACAATGCTGCACAATGGCAGAGGGCAGGGTTTCACTTAACTGGAGCTTATTTTGGGGGTAGAGCATCCTGAAAAATCATACTAGGGCTTATTTTCAGGTTAGGTCTTATTTTCGGTAAAACGGGGTACTAGTTACTGAGCCACGTTCAAGATCTTGCTGATTTACAAATATCTGAATATTTCTCCAACAGGTAGGCTCTTTATTCAACACTCATAGACCTGGACAGAATAACATATAAAAACATATTTTAAGGGACGTAATAGATAAAAGCATTATTAATTAATATAACCTAAAATATACAGTGTTCTTTTTAAAAATATAGAAAATATAATACCGAAGTTAACATACATTTTAACATCTTCCAGATAAAAATACTGTATAGACTATATAGTATAATAACCATGGTCCCTGTATTATTTATTTAAAATATTTTTACCCCACCTTTCTTCTTAAAAAGGCAGCTTACATCATTACAAGACAATATTTAAAGCTAAAAATGATAAGTATACTATAAAGGATCAAACAAATGGCACACTAAAAATGATAGACAAAAGCAACACCGAAAACACATTCAAAGTAGTGAGGCACAGCAATCCAATTAAAAAACCCCCTCAGGCAGCTAGTTATTAAGGAAAACTTGCCTGGAGAAGGTTTTCACCTGGAAGAAGAGCAAAGATGGGGCCAGCCTGACCTCCTGTGGGAGGGAGTTCCAAAGTCTGGGAGCAGCAACAGAGAAGGCCCTCTCCCAGGTCCCTGTCAGACATACCGTTGAAGGTGATAGGATCGAGAGAAAGGATTGAGAGAAATGTAGAAATACTGTAAAATCAAATCAGGTTATTTTTTATTATTACTTACTTGTTAGTACAGCAAGCTTTGATTGGTTTTACCAGTTACTCGTCCAACAGCGCAAGGACACATATTAAAACAGTAGAGCCAAGGGTCCACCTTTTATTCCATTTTTTTATTTCTAGAACATTTTTGTTATGGCATCTTGTACTATGGAATGGAAAATGAAATATTAAACTTTGTACAGCATAAATGGCTTCCTTTCTTTCATTGTTAGAGAGGGTTGTAAAGAGGAATGTACACATACTTTAGTGATTTCCTTTCTTTATCCTTATTATTTCAGACATTTGTTTGAAAACAATGTATTCGAAGACTGAGTCATTCTCATGCTGGTTAGGTCTCCACCTTATATTTTTTCACATAATGCGTTGCCGAGAAAATTTTGTCTTTTGAAGTGCTATGAGATACAGAAACAACTGTCTGCTCAGAGCCGAAAATCATGTACATTAAGTTGAACAGAGGTGACACACTTTACAGTTGCGTTTGCATCAAGTATTAGCACACCTCAGAGCCACTGTGCTTCTCAGAATAGCTGTTTTACCTTTTGTCTTTCTGTGAGTCAAGATTCTTTGTGCTAGAATCAGCCTGTTTATCGTTCATAACCTCTCTTCTTGTGGTTTTGGATAATCCTGAAGAAGAGAAAGAACAAAAATCTGCGCTATGAAACATGCACAAAATAGGAAAGTGTGCTCTTAGTGGGATACAATTTATTGGTTTTGTTGTTGTACTGGTTATTGCAGCAGCTTGTTTTAGCGGCGGTAATGGTTTTTGTATTTTTATTGTTTTAATTTCTGTTGGTAGGTGGATTTGCTGTTATGTGGCATTATGTCCTCTAGAGACTTTGAGGAGAATAGCAAAAAAGTACAAAGTGCATGCTTAAAATAAGTAGCATCCACCAAGCCACATTTCAAGCTACATACATTCTCCTTCTTGATTTTGCCTATTACAGTGAGGTCCTCTGGTGTATACATGGTTCTTTTGATGACCTGGTTAAACAGTTAGTAATTCTGCTCCTGTATGACCTGATAAATTGCCAAGACATATGCCTATTAAAGCAAAACAGATGAGAACAGATCCCTGAGGGAATTCAACCCGTACATACTGTTGATTTTGCGTATGAACATTTGTTGCCAGCAGCTTGGCATCTCAGTACTAGAAGAGCCATCTTTTACCATATATAGCTGCTCAAATCATACCTTCATCTTTGTAGTTTGTATTTAAAAACTGCCCAGAAGGTTGTCAGTATATAAATATTTAAAACAAGTCAATATATAAACATATAGACCCTGGATAATCCTACTAAGTTCTTTAGTTATTTTTCATCTCTGTAGGCCAGAACTAGTTTCTTGTGAAAAAGGAATATAAAGAGAGGAAATACATTTGCTCTGTTTACATAGTAGACAAATGACACAAGATCTCAGCAAGTGGTTTTGGGGGCCAGTAGAACCCTACACGCATTTTAAATCATGTCGACATTGCAGAGTTCATATTGTGATATACTAATTCAGTTTTGGAGGTTAATTTTGATGTCAGTTGTATCTGTAGATGTCTACATCTCCACCTTCACCACAGCAGGTGACTATGCTTAAGAGAAACTCTCACTCAAGAACTTTTAAATAAGCTCTTTGTTCTGTTCACGGAAAGATGTTTGTAAACTGTCGTGCTGAGGTTTGGTTCAGCATCTCTGTAACTGCCAGTGCTACTCACTTTCATGTTTGGAAATGCACTTTAGTTCTCTTTTCTTCAGTGCATAAGCATGTAGCACTCAGGCAACAAAGCCAAGCCTGAAATCTGTCTGCATTATAATAGAGCTGAAGATTATGCTGAGACCTGTGATCAAATGATGAGAATAGTGTGTCCCTCCCCTCAATAATTATTTCCTGTTTAAATGCCTGCTACAGCTTGTTTCCAATGACCTTTTGGTTGCAAGTACATTGTTTTATTGAAGAAGAAAATCCTCACCAAAAATCTAATATCATAAATTTGCAAATGATGTCATGCTTAAAGCCTTCTCCAAGATGTTCTTATGGGCTTTCTTGGGATGCATGCAGCCCCGAAAACAGATTCAGAGAGTACATTTTTCAACAGGCCAATCTTGAAATGTTCTCATGAATGCCTTAAGCTGAAGGGCAGTCTATAAATATACTTAAAAAATACTGTTAACATTAAGTGTAGTGTGCCACCTAGAAGCCACTATAGTTAAAACATACATCTTTTCTTTGAAATGAATACTTATCCTTTAGTTTGCTTTTAAGTGTAAGTTAAACAGAGGGTGAGGAGGCAGACAAAAAAAAGGAAAAGGTTTCAAAGATCTTTCAATCTTTATTGTATTTAGGTAATTCCCTTATACGTGATTCATCTCCCTAGAAAACCAAATTGTCTTTTCCCTCAAGAATCCTTGATTTTTCAGGGTCATTTTTCAATATGTCAGTGATGTTTTCTCTTTTCAGATATATTTGTTCTAATAAAGAAACATTGCTTTGAGAAAAAATGTTTTTGTTTTTCCAGTGTAAGACATGCTCAGAACCAAAACAAATAACCAGCTCTTCCGCTATATACAACAACCCCAACTTGATTAAACCAATCCCAGTGAAGCCTAGTGAGACTCCTCACCAATGTACATCTCATCAAGCGCAGGTATGTTCATGTATTTTCACTCTTGACTCATACCAGTACTGTCTTAAAAGACTTAATAAGGAAGTTGTGCAGGACAGGTGAACTGACAGCTTCTTAAAGGTGGCTTAGCCAATTACATTGTGGCAAAGCCACAGCCAGTCAGATGGGAGAGGGAGGTTTAGAGGTTGGAACTGACAGTTTTGGCCACCAGGTAAGTTTTAGACTTAGTTAGCAAAGTAGCCTGATAGAGCTGGCCTGGCGAAAGAGGCAAATGAGGCCTGGTTAATGAGGAAGCCAGTAGGGCTTGGATATTAGAGAAGACATTTAGGGTTTGAATATGAGTGAAGCTGGATATGAGTAGCTAGGGAAGTAGCAGAATACATTTTAGGTTAGAGGGAGTTCTTCAGCTGTGACTGACCTCTGTATTTTTGTCAGGTTGAGGAAGGTCCTTAAAGGGGCTCAGAGTACTTTGGAATGTGTCACATAGGACACATAATTTTTTTGTGAAAAGTTTACTAGTTACTAGTTAAAATCCTGTGTGGTGTTTTTGTTGGTAAAGCAAATCCTTTCACCTGTTATGAAATAAGTACTTTGCTCACCATTAAGCTTTGTCCCTTATCTATATGCTCATGTATTTTCCTATAACATTCTAAACAGCTTGGGTCTAAGATACCTGTATCTAAAAAGCAAAGTGTGCTGCTTATATACCGCCCCATAGTACATAAAGCTCTCTCTGGGCAGTTTACAATTTAATTATGCAAGCTACACATTGCTCACCCACAAGCCAGGTACTCAGATTTTCCTGACCTCAGAAGGATGGAAGGCCACGTCAATACCAAGCCAGCTACCTCAGCTCAGATCATGAGCAGAGTCTTCACTGCAGTACTGCAGTTTAACCACTGTGCCACGAGGCTCCTTACAAAGAGTATCTCCCTTTGTGAGTCTGCCTTTGTTACTTTGTTACTGTAAGCTGCCTTGGATCCTTTAGGACTGTGGTCCCCAACCTTTTTGGAACCGCAGACCAGTTGGGTGGGCTCCGTGTACGGGGGAACGTGTCACTTTCACAGGTGGCATGCCCCCCGTGAGCGTGACACGCCAACCATGCGTGCGTGGGGGGGTAGAGATCCGTCCCCACAGCCCAATTTTGGGAAGCCCACAGACTGGCACCAGGCCGCGGACCGGGACTTGGGGACCCCTGCTTTAGGAGAAAGGCAGCATTTAATATTTTAAATAAATAAATAATCCAGTGTTACTTATAAATTAGTATTATTACCACAGTAAACACATGGTTGTATAAAGTTTTGATCTTTCCTAGTCTCTGTTGTGTTCCAACCCTCCCACATCCTCAGTGAGCGAGTGCCACTGAAGTTTTCACAGGAGCTTTTCCAAGCAAAGAAAGAATGCAATTCTCTATCTGTCATCACGCTTCTAATCATGCATAGTTGTCCTTTCATACCGGCCTTAGCACCTGTCCCCTTATAGAGCTGGTATCTTTGTCATAGGTGGGCTTGTCTAAATTTTGTCATAGCTTTATGCAGCATTTTAAGCACAACTTCAAGGAAAAAAACACTATTATACTTCAGACACTTTTTTCAGAAGGTAAAAAAATGGTTATTAAAAAAAATAAGAAATACACCTTTTCATTGATCTGGGCTGACAAACCCAGGGGTGATAAACCCTGGGAAAATGGGGAGTTGGGTGTTGCTAACTTTTGGAGTGCTGGCACAGCTGAAGAACCTTGGAAGGGGATGGCCTTACCTTTCGATATGAAGTATCTGAAGTATTTCTTTCTTTCTTTCTTTCTTTCTTTCTTTCTTTCTTTCTTTCTTTCTTTCTTTCTTTCTTTCTTTCTTTCTTTCTTTCTTTCTTTCTTTCTTTCTTTCTTTCTTTCTTTCTTTCTTTCCTTCCTTCCTTCCTTCCTTCCTTCCTTCCTACCTACCTACCTACCTACCTACCTACCTACCTACCTACCTACCTACCTACCTACCTACCTACCTACCTACCTACCTACCTACCTACCTACCAGGAGAAATTTTGCCGTGCCACTTTGTCTGCCTTAGTAGCCTGGTAGCATTGCCTCTGAAATATGGGACAAATTTTTTTTGCATGAACAAAGATTTGGATAAGAAAGAGCACAAACGCTTATCTTTGTTTCACCTTTTGTTTTGGGGTTTCTTGGTTATTTTCTAAGGACTGCTATCATTGCTCCACCAGGGAGAATTTTAAAAAAATATAACAAATTAACCAGGACAAGATGTCTCCAAACAAGGGGTCTGGCATTTGACACTTTAAAAGGCAGCAGCAACTTTAACTAGTGGAGTTCTTCTAAACAATAGCTCTGACTTCACAATGGAAAGGGTGATCTAAACATGGCCTGTAATGAAGGACAGGCAATTTCCATGGACATTTCCCAGTGTGTTTTAGATCCCTCAGAGTCAGGCGTTGTGCTGATAGATTTCTTCTGGTGGCTGGTGTGTGATTGTCTCTTCTTTTCTTTTTGGCAGCCAGCAGTCTACTAGCACCACAACACTTCTCTTTCTTCTCCATCCTCCCCCCAACCTTATCTCATGACAAGGGTAGGTCTACCACCTGTACCACTGCCTGTTCTGGTCCAGAAGAGTAGGTTGCTAGATGCATGGTGTAGGGTGGTGATGGTAACCCTGCACCACCATGTAACATCTGAGACAGTGCTCATCATCCTGCCTTAAAGAGTAGGAGAGTTACCCTCAGCCAAGGAATGACCCCTAGTAAGTCTTGGAGGCATATGACATCTTGCTGAATCATATACTAAACCACCCCCAAAGCCATTCTTATCCTCTGCAGAGTAGTCTCATGCAGATGATGTTGATGATGAAGAAGCCAGACTCACAAGGAACAGTTTTACCATTTGCCACTCTCCCCTGCATCTTTTCTCTTCAGCCACTTTTCCATCTGGCATTCCAAATTTGGATTTTTGCTAAAAGCAGAATATGATCCCACTACCTGTTGTAGAACAGCCATTTACTTAACTGTTGGAGACTGATAACGTCAGTTTTGTCCTTTTCTTTGATGCTGCTATCTGACCTTGTACGTCATTTATTATGATGATTTACAAAGGTTTTTTTCTCATCCCCACAGAAAGTAGACCTTGAACCACAGCACTTATCCTTAATGACCCTCTTTGGAAAGCAGGACAAATCCAGCATATACCAGGATCCCGCAGAACAGTCACAGAAACTTCGCCAAGAAAACTTCCCATTGAAGCAAGGGGTTGTGCGCTCTTTGTCTTACGAGGACCCTGGGAGACATTCCCCTACAGCAGAGAAGCAGCTTTGCCCAGCCATTCAAAAGCTGATGGTGCGTGGAGCTGAGCTTCACCCAGTAGTTGAACTCCCTGAGAACCGAGTTTGTGAGAATGGCAGCAAACCTACCATGGAGGAAGTTTTCACAGGACTCTTCCAGCCAGTGGTTTCTCAGAACGTCCAGCCACCTCATCCATCCCAGGATACAACTACCCCTCAGAGTCTACTCCGGCAACTACAAGGTCAGTCAGGACAGATGGCTAAACTGGAGCCTAGCAACTTAGGACCAGCAAATTCAGTTGCATCAGTCTTTAGCCAGACTCCTGTTGTTTCCTCAGTGGCCCAGGTAAAGAGTGTAACTCAGCCACATATGATGTATTTCAATGGCTCCCTCCCAGCCCAGACTTTAGGACCTCCAGCCCTTGGTAAAGAACAACCCAAACTTCCTGGACAGTCCATCTCTCTCTCTGCGAACCAGTCTGTCAATTCTGGAGTAATTTCACCACAAGAGTTATTAAAGAAACTTCAGATAGTCCAACAGGAGCAGCAGTTGCATGTGTCCAGTCGGCCAACCTTGGCAGCTAAGTTTCCGGTGGCTACTCAGAGCACCTCCATGCTAAAACATCTGGATTCCTGGATGGATAAGGTTTCCATCACAGAAAAGCAACCTCCTTTGTTTCAGGTAAGCCAGCAATAATTTGAGATAACCTAGGATCTAGGAATCTTGATTGAGAAGCTGCTTGTTCTTCTGGCTCCAGCATTCAAAACTAAATGCCTCATTTTCTTTCAAGATTAAGGATGGGAGGTAAAACCTGTGATCCGTGAACCTTCCTCCTATGTGTGTTTGTGGTGTGTTTTTTTTTACATGCATTCAGCAGGAAGCCTTGGAAACTCCCAAGTGGTTTTTGCATAAGTCTGTTCCCTTCACAGCAAACAAACAAAGAAGACTCTCTTACCTTTGTGAAGTAGGAGGTAAAGTGAAAAGAACTGACAGGCTCCTTAGTATATTGGATGTACTCAGTGAGAGATTCCTGGCAAATGTGTATAAACACCGAGAAGCTGATTTATCTCTCCTCTTATGAGTTCATGAAATGGACAGTGATATAACAGGTCTATACATCCATAGGAAATTCAGTATATATGTCAAGATTTCATGTGCACAAGAGTTTCTCCTTTCATTCCAAATACAGAAGTAGTTCTGTATGTGTATCCTCTTGGAGATATGGAATTACATCTGCTCTTGAAAAAAAACTGGAAAACGTGCACATGTGGGGTTTGTGTGTGTGCCCTGAATTTCTTTTGGAATATATGATGTGTTTACCTGTAGAATGTTTCGTATATACATAATTTGCTAAATATTGTAGCCTTTGTCTGGAAGTTGACTCATAGCAACTGAACTTCTTTCTTTTTAGGTTGAAATGTTCCGCTACTCATCCAAATAGCTTCTTCAGTCTAAGGTGAGTTGGTATGAGATCCCTGACATATCCTCCACGTTGGTTTCACTTCCCCCTAGTCTGAATCTGCTCATTAGAAGGACAAAGGACTAGAGAAGAAAAAGGACTGCAGAAGTGAGATTATCCCTCACCCCCAGTCCTTTGTCCTTCTGATGAGCCGATTCAGACCAGGGGGAAGTGAAAACAACATGGACATACCGGGGATCTCCTACCAACGCGCCTCAGATTGAAGAAGCTACTTGGATGAGTAGCGAAACGTTTCAACCTGACAAGAAAGAACTCCAGTTGCCATGACTAAACTTCCAGATAGCCTCACCTGGATGACTGAGAATCTTCACAGATATATTGTAGGCTTTGATTCTCATTCTTTGGATCAGATGAGCTTACCACTGTAAGATTTAACGTGATCTCAGTATATGTTTACATGAATGGATATGTGGCACACCAGCCAAAATCCTCTATTGTCGTTACATTGACAAAACACTTACAGTGTAACTTTTAGGATGAATTGCTTTAAATTTGAAGTCATTGTAGACGTCCTCTGTTGCATGCTGAATGGCATGAGTCAGTACACAATAGATAATGTGTACATAGACTTTGTAGCTTGAGACAATTTGCTTCTAAAAGTTGCACTTTCATTGTTACACCAGTTTAGCTGTACAAAAGGATTTTCACTGATTTGTGCAATCATTTCCTTTCCAGAAAGATTGAAGAGAAGCAGAAATTGGTCAATTGCAAATATGTCCCTATATCCCATGTTATTTCCAGCATCTCCATACTGTATTTGGGACTTTACCCTACTTGTATGTCAGCTATTGCTCCATTTGTCAATTTCTGAGTGAAGTATAGAGTAATAAGAAGCCCTGCAGGCTATAAGGATAAAGAGGCCCTCCCCAAACATCAGTTTGACATGATTAATTCACAGTGATCACAGACAAATCCAAATTTCTATAGCCATCTCTATATGGAATATTGTTTTCCTTTCTGCAGTAGTGGATTTCTTAGTAGCCCAAATCCTTTTAATTATGCCCACAGGCATATCTCAGTCAGTCTAAATATCAGTGGTAAATATTAGTTAAGTAGGTGGTGCTTGTTTTTTTTTTATCCAGCAATCATGTGACTTGGTGCATGACCAGAAAATGAGCATTGGTTTCTTAGTTAGTGTGACTTCACCCCTGAAAGTTACTGCAGTTGACTTACACTATAATAATTGTGCAGTAGGATCCCAACCAGTAGGTTTATTAAATCTCTTTAGTTATACAATCACATCCACTTGAATCCCTTTAAAAATGTTTCTAAATTACAATACAATCACTTTCTCTTTCAAGTCATCTCTCTACAGGTTAAATCATCTCTAATAATCCTCAGAAACCTTACACTTGAGTGACAGGTTTTCTTTTCTTTTCTCTTCTTTTTTAATGTACAGTCTGCATTTCACTCCCCCAACAGGCTGCAACCAGACACACTGTTAAATAAAATTGGAATTAGAGCTTATTGTTAAGCTCTATAACATGAACTAATAGAAAATGTGAAAACAGAAGAGATGTCAAAACAAGAGAAGCTGGAATGGATGACTCATTGTCCCTGTGTTTGAGAAAAAAATTTAAAAGTGCTTGTGACATTTGGATTTGAGATGGAAAAACAACAGTTAGGGACATAATTTGATCATCACTTCATGATGTGAAATTTTAATAAGCTTGGTGATGTTCTGCAGGGCATGGGCAGTAAAGTCAATGTATAAGAGAGAAATAGGTCTGTTTTGTTACATAACTAGCAAATGCCTATCATTTCCTGCCCATCTCAGGTTTGGAAAAGGCCCTGTTGGCAGTAAGATTTCTTGCAAGGAGAGGGAGGTCAGGTTGTGCATGATTTGGAATTCCACTCATTGGAGGTTGGGTTCCTCAAGGTCATGGGGCAGAGAGCTTTATTCCCACTGTATCTGTGAAGATTCTCAGTTATACAGGTAGGGTTACTGGAGGTTGAGTCATGGCAACTGGACTTCTTTCTTATTAGGTTGAAATGTTTCGCTACTCATCTAAGTGGCTTTTTCAGTCCCACCGTAAATGGCCCTGTAGAAACCATTAGAAACTGTTTTCTTACACAGGACAAAATAAAACTATGTCATACACAGAAACACTGAGATTGAGATAAAATCTGCTTCTGATGACAGCTTTTAAAAAGTAGAACTAGATTTTTCCTGGCTTTTAAAGTTGTGTTGATAGCATCCAGCTTACTTCACTCCATATAAATTAACTAGGCACTGAGCCAGGTCTTCACAGGGCATAATCTGGGATCCATTTCAAGGTTGTACGAAATTCAAGCAGAGGTATCAGACTGAAGGATCAAAGGTGCAAATACCTCATCCAGCAGATTAGCAAGAGCTTCTTCATTTTCAGAGAAAAACCATGAGTTTTGTTGGAAGCACTTGTAAGAACAGCAGTTAATTGTAAAAGTTAATAATCTTATCTCAGCATGGCACCTATCTATGTATTTCTTGCACCCCAATATCTTTCCCCTGCCATCAGTTCCTCTTTTCCTGACCTGAGCATTCCCTGAAAGATTTGCACTCTTGCCTGTCTACGGCGTCTGCCTGTGTACCTTTGATTCCTTCAATTATCCTTCCAAGTCTTACTGGATGGTTCCTTGAACCCCAAGTGTCATCCTAGCAGCATCTATTTTAGTAAATTAAAGACTCTTCCTGCCATCCTGCGCCTTGCAAACGGCTTCCCGATGACGAAGAGCATTGCATAAGAACCTTTGGAGAATTGGAAATGGCTGATGACACCATGAGCCCTATATAGTGTAGTTGCACAAACAGAAATTCAGCCATGGTCTCCTTGGTGTGCTGTTACAATAGGCACTTTCTAGTTTTGGTTGTTGTGGGTTTTCCAGGCTCTTTGGCCGTGTTCTGAAGGTTGTTCTTCCTAACGTTTCGCCAGTCTCTGTGGCCGGCATCTTCAGAGGACAGGAGTAGCACTCTGTGCTACTCCTGTTCTGTGGAGTAGCACATGATGTGACAAATCAAACATTCTAGTTTGTTTGTCACATCATTATATAGGTATATCAGTCATAATGTCCAATCGGAGTCTGAGAAATTAGGAATTCTGCAAAAGTACTGTACATTCTCCAGTGACCTGGCAGATGGCCTCCACTTTATGTTTAAGGCTGCAAAGATCACACCAATGGCATTCTGTACCTCTAGCCAACCTTAGGTAAAGGTAAAGGTTCCCCCTGACATTTAGTCCAGTCGTGTCCTACTCTAGGGCACGGTGCTCATCCCCATTTCCAAGCCATAGAGCCAGCGTTTGTCCGAACAGTTTCCGTGGTCACATGGCCAGCGCGACTAGACACGTTACCTTCCCACCAAGGTGGTACCTATTTATCTACTCGCATTTTACATGCTTTCAAACTGCTAGGTTGGCCCTATATAGCCTGCACCAGCCTGCTCCAAATGAGGCTGTATAGACAAGCCCTTATTTTACTTACTTATTAAATACCACCTTTCTCCTGGGCTTGGATCCAACGCAGCTTATAGTGTCATTATAAAAGAAAGATTCTTTCAGAATTTTGCATTCCTGTTAGATTTTTTGCATCCAGAAACTGACCGCACACCTGACTAGATGCCTGCAGTTAAAAGAATTGGCAGGTTAGTTCAAATTCATATGGGAAATTCAGCCCTCCTAGCTTCATTCCTAGCACCTTGTTGGTCTTGCTGCCACATTACACTTCTGAACTGACAACAGAAGCCACAGTAGTCAGAACCGTTGCGGTTGAATTCTGACACGTTATTTTCCATAGTCATATCTGCTTTGGTTTTCCTGTTAGGTAAGCATCTCAGCCTCTTTGAGTCCTAGTTGCCTACTCTGTTGCATAAATAGATTTAACCTATCACCAGGCAGACTGGTTGTTGATTGCAGACTGGTTGCTGGATTCATTAGGTCTGGGTCCACTCCTCGTACCATTTTTACCAGTTATCCTGCTAGGTAAAGGTAAAGGCTAAGGTAAAGGCTCCCCTTGACAATTTTTGTCCAGTCGTGTTCGACTCTAGGGGGCGGTGCTCATCCCCGTTTCCAAGCCATAGAGCCAGCGTTTTGTCCGAAGACAATCTTTCCGTGGTCACATGGCCAGTGCGACTTAGACACGGAACGCTGTTACCTTCCCACCGAGGTGGTCCCTATTTATCTACTCGCATTTGCATGCTTTCGAACCGCTAGGTTGGCGGGAGCTGGGACAAATGACGGGCGCTCACTCCGTCCTGTGGATTCGAGCTTATGACTGCTGGTCTTCTGACCCTGCAGCACAGGCTTCTGCGGTTTAGTCTGCAGCACCACCACGTCCCTCTATCCTGCTAGAGCCATGATAAAATGAAACCACGTTCACCATATAGAAGTTTTCTGCTACAGCAGTATGTTATCAGTGCGACTGCCATTTCCACCATAGCTGATTTTTGTCTTCCATCAGTGGCTTGCCGTGCCATCTGATGCTGAGTTCAACCTTATGTAGCTCCAGGTATCTTTGCATTATCTGCAGTTGCCTTGGATACAAATAGTCAGTAAATGAACTGTCCTATTTTTTCTGTATTCTGAGCAGGTTATCTCACCACAGCGGATTCCTGCTACTGTAGCTCCATCACTGTTGATGTCACCAATGGTTTTTAGTCAGACTGCCCCAACCCCGCCTAAACCAAATGAAAATGGATGGCTCCCAGTTGTGAATCAAGAAGCTGCTTCAGTTTCAGCAAACCTTCTCCTACCTATGCAGAACTCAGAACTACCAGCTGCAAACAGCAATCCATTGACCAAGAAGCAGCTACAGGAAACGTTACTCCATCTGATCCAGGTAAATCACCCTTTCCACCCTGCTTGTATCCTCTCTTGATAAATGGGCATATCTGAATTTGAGGTAAAAGATTTAGCAAAGTAAAAATTCACCACAGTGTGATGTTGGCTTTGGGATTGAATACTGCATGCCTACACACACCAATCCTGTTGATCCACTTTTGTAATCAGCATGGAAAGGTGATTTTTATGACCATTTCTGGGAGAGGGGTTAAGAGGCGTCTCAGTCCCACTTTCCCAAAAGGTTCTCCACATTCCCCTTGCAACACTGGGGAGAAAACACTGTTTGAAATTAACAAGAGGCCAAGGAAAGGATTCGTTAGGGGTGGTTGGGGCTCCTATGGGGCCCACTCTCTTTTGTGGGAGGTTCAAGTTAGGTGCCTCGGTGTGTGTTTACAGCTCAGTCTCTTATTTTCTGCACATCGCTAAATTTAGCTGTGAGATACAGTGGTGCCTCGCATAGCGAGGTTAATCAGTTCCAGATTAACCTTCGCTATGCTGAAGCATCGTTGAACGGATCAAAAAAACCCATTGGAACGCATTGAACATCGTTTAATGCGTTCCAAATGGGCCAAATACTCACCGTTCAGCGAAGCTTCGTAATGGCTGGCAGCCATTTTCGTGCCCTCGCCTCGCTTAATGAGGGCGCGAAAACGCTGCGCGCGGCCATTTTGGGCCATTTCCGGGCTTCCGGCGGCCATTTTGGCCGCTGAACAGCTGATCGTTGGGCTTCCTTTTGCGAAGATCGGTAAGCGAAACGCTTACCAGTCTTCGCAAAGCGAATTTAGCCCTATTCAGAAAACGTTAAGCGATCGCATTAGCGATCTGAAAAAACGGATCGCTATGCGATTTCATCGTTATGCGGTGCGCTCGTTAAGCGAGGCACCACTGTAGTTTGTATTATTGTTGGGTGGATACACTGTATACATACAGGTGGGCATGTATTTTTTATTTATTTTTATTTATTTATTAGATTTTTATCCCGCCCTTCTAGACAATGTCTACTCAGAGCGGCTTACAATATATGTATGGGTTGTTGTGCCCTTTAAAAAAAGAGGAAAAATAACCCAAGCCATTATTCATTGCCTACAGCTTATTAGGGCCCGATTCCATTAAAGAGCCTACTGACTGACACAGGTACAGTCAGGTCAGATGTTGTACATTCATCATCTCCTTATGGTCTTTGAAGTGTGCTGATCACCTATGCTAGAATGCTGCTTGTGCTTCCAAGCAACTGGAACATCAGTAGAGTAATTGATTACAGTTTACAGTTTTGACTGCGGTAGTCTTTTATCCTCTATTTTCTCCATGATGCTCAGAAGAACATTTTAGCCTCGTGGAATCTCTATATACTTAATTAGGATGATAGTATGTGACATGTCTGAGACCACTCAGTGAGCTTTCTAAACAAGTAATGATTTGAAATTCAATTTCTTAATGCTGTTGTACCACACCACTTCTAGTGAATTAGAACATGTTAAAAAAAATCAGAATATGTAGAATTATTTTCTCTGGTATTGTGTTTTTCACTAACAAATCATATGTATTTGTTTTCCCAGAATGATGAGAACTTCTTAAACATCATCTATGATGCTTATCTTGTCAGCGTGAGGAAAGCAGCTCTGAAAAAGCCTAATTGAAGTCTAATTTTTAAAATCAAATGTATGTGATTTCCTGAGCTTGCCTTTTTCAAATAATTAGTCACATGAAGTGAGGAAAACCTGCTGCCAAATGTGTGTTGTGCTAAGAAATTGGTGAGTAGGAACTGAGAGTGCCTTTTGTGGGACTGAGATTTAGTCATAAATTAAAAATACCTAATGACGCTTTTCCGGTTTAGGATCCATATCAGCTTGTATAAAGAGTGATACTTTGTGTCCTCATCTTTTGGCGTGTTTCTTTTAAAACCCCTTGTTGGAAAATGTTACCTGGTAGCTTGCTGAGGTGGAAGTCCCTGTATTACATAGCAGTATTTCTAAATAATTATACTGACTCCTGAACACCAGGTGGCAGGCTAGGATTGTAGTTCAGAAATATGAGGCCTCTGTGAAAGTCTACATTGGAAACAGTTTTTCCGAGATGTATTCTCGAAGGCTTTCATGACCGGGATCTGATGGTTGTTGTGGGCTTTTTAGGCTCTTTGGCCGTGTTCTGAAGGTTGTTCTTCCTGACATCAGGAAGCCCGAAAAACCCACAACAACCATCAGTTGTTCAGAGAGTTAAAAAATAGCATAACAGAATCTCTCTTGGTTGTTGTAGGTTTTTCGGGCTGTTTGGCCATGTTCTGGAGTCTCCATTGTTTCTCATGATTTGCCCACTATCATCTCTGTTCATAAATTTTTCAAGTTATTCAAAAATCTGCAAAACCTCTTGAGCCAGAGATAACAGCTAAGCAAAAGAAATAAGAGCATATATTACAAAACAGAATTAATTATATAATTAATTGTATTTATTAACTAATTAATCTGTTTTCATCCATTGGAACTTCCCAGCAAGGCACTGATTTTCATATTACCTTTTCATGTTACCTTTTTTTTAAAAAATTAAAGATTAGGCAGAGGTGTGGCTGAAAAGATAATGTGATCATGACCACTGCTAAAAACTGGTGCTACAAAATTTGCTACTCCCAGAATCTAAGAACATGCACCATGCCTGTTCTTTTTGGGGAAGTAAAAAGCATGTCATTTCTCTCACCCTACCCTGGTAATTTTGGGGAAGCACATGTCTCATTTAAATATATGTAAAAGGGGGATACACTCCACTAAAAATTGAGCATACAGACTCCCCATTAAAATCAGCAGGCACTTTTAAGATTCTTTTGATCTTGGATTATATATACTGCTACTGCTATGTAGCCCCAATTTGACAGTCAGCTCTCAAAGATATACGTATTCTCTCTCTCTCTTTCTCTCTCTATCTCTCTCTTTCTCTTTTTAAAGACAACTCCTTTTGTAAGTAGATATTTTTCTATTATGGAACCAAAATATTCTCATTGCAGCACATGAAAAATTATAACCCTGAGAAGACAGGCTTTTGCTTCTAGCTATTCTTGCCTTTCCATGTAGATACAGGCCATTGCCAGACCATGTTATGTCTCTGTGCTTCTAGGGGATTGGCTGCATCATTTTTAAGTATCCTGTAAATGCTAGCAAATATAATGGATAGTTTCATTTTCACTCTCTTGTTCTATGAATGGATTGACAAGAGTTTCCATTATTCATTTGTAAAAAAAATAAAACGGTTTACCAAATTGTGCTTTGAATTCATTTTTTTACACCAGAGACCACAAGATTCTGGGCTTGGATTAGTGATCTTTTATGAGCCAGTTTCCTATTGAGTTTCTGCAGAGCAGAACATCCCAGCAACCTAGCAATGCCTGCAAAAGTGTTGTTCTTAAAACATTTATGGCGGTTTTTCTTCACAAAGATTTCTGCTTGCAGAACAGCAGCATCTGTGTAAGTGCTGTGATTGTTAGTACACTAAGAAAGATTATCCATTCAGAGGAAGCTTAATACAAGATAGTAAAATCTGAATTTGCCATGCTTCATACATGTGTAAAATTAAAGCACAATGCAATATACATTGTACTTCTTCCACGTACTACAAGGTACATTTGCATTACATAAGAAATAGCAACTTGACAATGCAGCATCCCTAGCTTAAATTAGTCAGATGGAATTAAGTGCCTGCTTTGTCAATTGTAGACTATTTACCTACAGAGAATTGTGGAAGTTCATCATGCATCTAGGAAAAATGATGAAGAATCATGTTGAGAGAATTTGGCCAATTGTTAAGGGTAAAAAATAAGAGAGCTGCCAAAATTCAGCCATGTTGGCCATAACATTAATTCTAAAACTCATGTTGGATTGATAACCCTTGGTAGACCAAACAGCACAAAAAGTGTGCAAACTTTGAGTCAACACGTCTCTTCACCAGGCATGATGTTACAGAGGCAGAGGTAAGTGGGGGTGGGGGGACTTGATGTTAAAGCCAAGAAGTCTACGTGTGTCTTGGGATATAATGGAAGAGGAATGATCTACAGATGTTCACATGGAGCTTGTCAGACGAAATGATGGTGTTGCTTTCACCCCGAGTGATCCATAGACTTTCTAGTAGTCAAAGCAGCAGAAAGGTTTGGTCCTCTGTTTTAGGAAATATAAATGTCCACTGTAAGCAGATAGCTTTTTCCATTCTGTCTGAGCTCATAGGCTCCTTTACACCTAGAGTAAACAAACAAAACCCAGTTTGTCTGCCAAACATGACTATGAAGCAGTACTCTGGATATGTGCAACTTCCCGTGTTAAATTCATTTAAATTGTCATGAATACAGAAATCAAATGTAGTTTCATTGCTCTTTCTGCTGCCCTGATGCTAAATGCACATAGAAGTAAACAGCATGTTCTTTTGGAAAATGGTAATGCTTACTATATTAATGTACAAATATTCAAATGGGCATTTCTAACTATGTGCATGACTGCCTGACCACTTGCCAACCATAAAATGTTTGGGATCTTTTCTAAAGTAAAAGCCCAGGATGTTGCATTTACCACCACTATTTATTTATTTATTTGTTTATTTATTTATTTATTTTATATCCCTCCCATTTAGACAGAACTCTATTCTACTATTACTAGCATACCCACATCAGATCAAGGTGCTAAGGCTGAGTGTATTTGTTAGTGCCTCGCTCTCCTGCTCTCTGCTTTTGGGTGGGGGTGGTGATGAAATGCCAAATCTTGGACTTTGCCTCACAGGTCTGGTCTAACTGCACTAGTGAACTAAGCTCTGTAAGTAGAGGATGTCTTCTAGCCATTCTCAGTTAGGGCCATATGGCCCCGGGGGTGGGGTGGGTGGGCTCAGGCACATTTGAAGGGGGCCACAACCTGGAAACAGTTCTTCACGCACCACCTTATAAGGTCTGTTATGTGAGTTATATGATCCTTATTTGGCCGATATTTCTTTCATATTGTGTTTATGACCTTGGCCAAAGAAAGGTTGGGAATTGCTGCTGAAAAGAATAGGAAGGAGCTTTAAGAGGCTCATTTTGGTGCATATATAGGGATATAATGCTGGGAAAGTGGAAGGCATCAGGAAAAGAGGAAGACCAAGTATGAAATGGGCAGATTCCCTAAAGGAAGCCACAGGCCTGAATCTACAAGAGCTGAGCAGAACAGTTGAGGACAAGATATTTTGGAGATTGCTCATTCATGGGCAGAACTGACTTGATGGCACATAAGATATAGAACATGGCAGGAACGTACGTGTGTGTGTGTGTGTGTGTGTGTATGTGTGTGTGTGTGTGTGAGAGAGAGAGAGAGAGAGAGAGAGAGAGAGAGAGAGAGAGGAAATACTCTTTCTTTGGTCTTTCACTCAGCTTCGTTTCCTGAAATGATATTACACTAAGTTTGTGGCTGTGGAAGGATGATTGTTTTATTGGATTTAAATGCCGCTCTAGACCAGTGACTCCTGGCCTTGGGTTCACAGTTGTTGGACTACAACTCCTGGAATACCTGACCACTAACCTTGCTGTCAGAGCATTATGGAAGTTGGATTTCTGAGTACTCCGAAACCACTGCTCTAGTACTCTCAAATTATCATACAGGTTTGGGGGCTTCTCAAGCTATGAGAGTAACGTTTGCTTTTAAAATGTCTCCTCTGTCCGGGTAAAAAAAGGAACAAGGAAAGTGTACTGCCGTACCAAAAATGATTTCCCAGCTATCTACATCTATGTCTCCCTTGGCTGCCACGGCTGAGATCAGACCCCAAGTGCAGCCTATCATACCATTAACCCCCTCCTTCAAGCTTAACCCTTTGTTCTTCATTCCCAGTAAGGAAGTTGATTATTTATGTTTTTCAAAAGCAAGAAAAGTCTGGTGAGATGGAATGAACCTGATTTCATATTATAGGATTCTCTTCTTGAATTAAGAGAGATGACTAAAGAATGTTTATTTGTCCAGTGCCTATCTTAACATTAATGTTCAACATTAAAGTACCAGTGCTTTTGGGTCATATTCCTACCAGGCTCTGTGTGAATTATGCTGCCCTTTAGAATGGTACTAAAATACCTGAAAAATATTAAAAGAGAATCTGTGGTTTAAAATCTCTTTATGTCAGTATATATACAATTCAAATATGCTTAGAGAAAGAACCCTCCTCTTTCTCAAGCCTTCATAAGCATGTCAGTTTTTAAATACTATTTTATGACATATGTAGTATTCATTATTGTTGCTGTTACTGTTTCATTTTGATCACCATTCTTTTTCTGATTTTTATCATGTGCAATTGAGATTTAAACTGCAACATTTGGATTCATACTGTATATATCAGCAACTCTGGCCTTAGTGGTTGATAACCTCAGTTTTTAATCTATATAATAATGGTATGTATTATTTGGCCTTTCATGGAGCCTAGGAAAATTAACATGGTGTTTTAACACATATCATGGGTTTTTATCATGTGTGCTAATTTATTAAATCTGTATTAAAACTGAACAACAGAGTTAACCATCAACAGGCAACAGCTCTGAATGTATAGCCAAAAGGCAAGGGAGAGACTTAGCAGTAGCCTCATTAAGAGCTAATCCTAATGTTTACAATTACATGAATGAGTTTGGAAGAGCCTTCTTATCCTTCTCTCTTCCATTGCTGCCATCAGAAAACTTAGTTTCACTCCTAGTTTTGTTTAATCACTGTTCACTGTTATGTGAACCTGACTAAACTATATTTAGTCTTATTTAAAGTTCACTGAAAGGGACGTGGTGGCGTTGTGGGTTAAACCGCAGAAGCCTCTGTGCTGCAAGGTCAGAATCCATGCGATGGAGTGAACCCCTGTTGCTTGTCCCAGCTCCTGCCAACCTAGCAGTTCAAAAGCATGCAAAATGCGAGTAGATAAATAGGTACCACCACAGTGGGAAGGTAACGGCGTTCCTGTCTAGTC